ATCAATACCACCAAATCCTACCCACCCCAAAAATCCAAAAATCCGTAACCAAAAACACCCAAAAAAACCAACCTCATGGGCACCAAAAAGGGGAAAAGCTTCTTCTTCAAGAGCTCCAAGGGCTATCCCACCAGTCATTGGCTTCAAGGAGGTGGAATTTGAATCTGAAGCACAATGCACCCGTTTTCTTGAGCAATCCGAAGGAGAGGTAAAACTCTCCAGGTTTATGTGCCAATATACATTGACTATGTTTTGGATTGATGATATTATGAGAGATATATTTACAAGTTGTGGCATGCTTAAAATCATTGATATGCATTTTTGGTCATATGATCGTTTAGTGTATGAGCTCTATAGTTCCGTTGAGCATGTGAAAGATGAAAATGATCACACCAATAACAAAATCAACTTTCGGCATGCCCTTATTTGAAGAAGTGCTCACGTATCGTTCATCGGTGGCCTATGAGCTTTGGAGAAGGATGACCGTACTTGTCAATTTTAGTACTTCCCACCTAAATGTCAACCATGTCCAACACCCGCTCTTCTGAATTTTCTTAAAATTCCTGCCAATTGCTTTTATGGGAGACCGAACAACCACCAAACTAGACTTTGGGATGTGTTCCTTTTAGCACAAGCTATTCTTCCAGGCGCCGATACATACGATGTCACCACAGTTCTCTGGGATCGCATAATCAATGTCAAAAACGGTGGTGGAAAAATCTATGTAGGGGGTCTAATTACCCACATTACCACACTATATGGTTTTGAATGCAATGGAGCACCAACTCACGAACCCTTCTTAGCCTTCAGTTTTTAAAAAATGCAAATGATGTGAGCCACCTCTCCCACACGGAACCTGATGGCCTGGAGATTTATCATTGACACATCAAACCCGACCAAGCGTTCTACTTCCCTTTCCCTTCCGATAATCTCCCTCTCAACATCAATGATCACCACATTGGTGATGGACATCATTATTGTCTTCCCGGAGAGATTCCGCTGCATTATGCACACCAAGACAATGAACCGGGGGATAATGCAGATGAAGACAATGCCGCCATAAAACAACCACAACCTCCTCCTGAACGGCAACCACAACCCGATGCTCTCGGCCACCAATTCACACCCTTTGAACAACAAATGCTAACTAGCATGAATGCTCTAAACTTGAACTATACCCAACTTCGACAGGAAGTTGGACTGTTTCGTACTGAGCACAGGTAGAGTCTCGAGCGGTTGGAGGAGCAAAGACAAGAGGACTGGCGACAATACGAAGAGGACCGGCGGAGGTACGAAGAGGATCAAAGGAGGACCTATGGCCCTATATACTCCTACATTGCACAACAGAGTTCCTTTTCTTCTATGGCCACTCCCCCTGCACCACCCTCTTGGTATGACCCCGCAGCATGGGGTACTTTTGGTGGTTCGACCTCAGGTGGGGGAGGCGGTGACGGCGACGATACGAGCATGGACGAGGACACACACTCAGGGGGATACTATGGCTATGGAGAATACTTTGATGGAGGTTATCCAGGCGGACACTAGGGACAGTGTCAGGTACTAGCTGGGGGGAAACTGTTCTGGTATGCTCACATTTCATACTCTTTATTTTTGTTAAAAAAAAAAGCTTGTTGAGTTGAAAACCCACAAAGGGCAACTTAAGCAAAAAATTAAAGCAAAAACAAAAGTGAGTATGTGAGAATTTAAAAAAAGTGGGAAGCTGGGATGAAAACCTCAAAGGGCACCTAGGCAAAATGAGAGAATGAGAGAAAATATCTCTTTTGATTTTGCAGGATCCTAAAGGTGATTAACTTAAAAGAGGGATGAAGATAAAGATGAAATTGAAGACCCCTTTTTACTCTATTCACTTTTGGGGATGCTTTGTAATACTTTTGTTCTTAAAACATTCTTGGATTATTGTATTGATACTATTATCATTTGGAGGATTGCATGGACAGGTTGGGTTTTACTCGAGACGAGTAAAAGTTCAAGTGTGGGGATGTTTGATATACAATAATTAGTAGTGCATAAGTGTATGCTTTTATTATTATGATTGATTTGTGTGAATTGTTTACCATTTTGATTTAGTTTGTAACATTTGTGTGATTTTAGTTGTAATTGTATTTTAGCTTTCATTTGTTAGTTGTAAAGTTGAGTTAGGATTTGTAGTGTTGGAAAAGAGAACTTTGAAGTGAAGGAAACTGCCAAGGTGACCTACCCGGTCGAGTAGATACTTTACCCGGTTGGGTAGATACTTCATCCCGTCGGGTATGACAAGAAAGAGTAAGCTGCTGGGACATTACACTTACCCGGTCGGGTAAGACACTGTACCCGGTCAGGTATGATTTGACCCGGATCAAAGAACGTGCAGAAAACAAGAGTACATGGCGAATCGATTCGATTTTGACCGGTACCCGGTCGGGTAAGTACTATAACCGGTCGGGTATCCGGCCAAAGGTGTTGAAAAACACCTATAAATAGAACACTTTTCCTTCACTAATTTCCATTCCTTCTTCCATACTCTTAAGCTCATTTTAGAATAGCATTTCTTTATATTTTTCTAGCTATGTTTAGTCTCCTAATGAGGAGCTAAACTTCCATTTCTTGATTTTGCTCTTGAAGCTTGTTGATTATTAAAGTTGTGAGTTATTTTCTTAACTTCTCTTCTTGAATATTAATTCTTCTCTTACTCTCATTCTATATTAATGTTGGGGTGTTGCTAAGTGACGATTAGTTATCACTTCGACATTAATTATTACTAAAAACGATCAACGAACTGATGGCTAATCGTTGATGGTTTCACAATTAACTTCGGTTTATTAATGCACGATCGTGGTTAATAGACTTAAGAGGGATTAATTTTGTTGGTTAAACCGAAACCATTGTGTTGAGGTTATCAATTTCAATTGATTTCATCAAGGAGTTAAAAAGATTAAATGCTACTATTAAATCGGTATACGACGTTGTTCTATATTTGATTAATAGTAAGGGTTGTTAATGAACGGTCGTTGTTAATAACTACCCTAGATGAATTGGATATACTCCTCAATTGAGTATTCGAGAGGGGATAAGTTATCGATATAACAAGGATCGACTAAATATATCAACAAGTGGAAAGTAGCAAAGCCAAGTTTTTTTATCTTTGAATTAAATCACATATAAGTTGTTCATCTTAGTTCTTAATTAAATTAAATCATTCAACCCCAAAACCCCCTTTAATTACTAGTTTCATTTAAAAAGAGATTTATTCATTTCCCTTTGAATACGAACTGTACTTCACTATACTACGTATAAGTGTTAGTATTGAATTTATTTTGACGCACTACGACAAAGTGCCCTTAAGGGAAACATGCCCAATCTGCATCAGAATAAGCCATTATAACAGAAATATTGCGGTCTGTCCGGAGCCACAGCCCATGCGATGAAGTGCCTTGTAGATACCTGTAAATTTTCTTGACACCTAATAAGTGAGTAGTGCGTGGAGCATACATAAACTGGGATACCAGATGAACAACATATGTAATGTCAGATGTAGTTATAATTAAATACTGAAGAGCACCAGCCATACTGCGATACTCAGTAACATCAGATAACAGTTCCCCATCTGAGAGAGAGAGAGAGAGAGAGAGAGAGAGAGAGAGAGATGTGCGAGAAGGAAGTGGGGTGCGCATAGGTTTGACGGTGTCAAGATGAAACCGATGTAACAAATCGGAAATATATTTAGCCTGAGAGAGAAAAAGGACATGAGGTGTGCGTGTGGCCTGTATTCCCAAAAGATAATGAACATCCCCCAAATCATTCATAGCAAACTGAAGAGATAATTTATGAATGACAGACTGAACAAAAGGTAAAGATGAGCCAGTGATTAAGATATCATCCACATATAAAAGAATATAGACAACTTGTGAGTGAGAACGATAAACAAACATGGACGAATCAGACTCAGGGTTGTCAATCCCGGATAGCGGAGCGTAGCGGGCAGCCCCAAAAACGCTATAGCAGTATAGCGGATAGCGGGATGACCGCTATTTAGAGTATTTTCAAAATAATAGATAAGTAACTAATGGAAGCATATGTAATACATACATATGAAAAAAAATACTCTTTGCCTTACTGGAAGCATATGTTTTAAGTTTTAACTACTGTAAGGTACATCTATTACCTTTAAGATAAATCTATTACCTTTAAGGTACATCTAAGGTCTGCAAAGAGACTACTGAGAAAGACATAAGATGCTATTAATAATTAAACCATCTTTAGTCAAAACATTGAGTCAAAAATAAGGTTCTAGTGTAAGAGTTTAAGTCTTGACAAATTAACAGTCAAAAACATAGATATGGCTTGCAAGCTCTTTGAATTCATACGAGAAGAGAGTGGACTGACTAGACTCCATACGAGAAGAAGAAGATTAACCTACTGTGGGCTTAAAAAGAAGATTGCAGGTCTGCAGCAAAGGTTGGGGAAGAAGATGTTGCATAGTGTGTGTGTTGGCTTGGTCACTATAGTTTGGTGCAGGTCTATATGTACGAATGTGGGAGTCAAAGTTCTTCTGTGGGCTTAAACAGAAGACTGCAGGTCTGCAGCAAAGGTTGGGGAGGAAGATGTTGCAGCTTTCTGAGTATTTTCATCGCAGAGGTTCCTCGAGATACTCCTGAGTATAATTTATCAAGGACTTAAAGATGACTAAGTTTTTTTTAGGACGGAGATCTTACTACTTCATTAAATGACATTTACTAGTCATCAATTTAAAATCATGAATAATGAGCTCACAATTTACATTAAAAAAGTAATAAAAATATATAACGGTGGCTGAAACTTTGACTATATAATAAAGGTGCGTACTCCTGTACCCTAATAAAATTATGGGTACCATACCCATCCACTAAGGTGAAGACATGTGTACTTTTTTTGACAGCAATGATCCATTTTTGAGTGCTCTCGGTTCTCCTCCTATTTTGCTAATATATCCCTATATTATTTGATATCTAATTTGTATTGGTCTTTGTTAAACCTCCGTTAGTCCTTCCGTCAAACTCTACCGTTTTCCCATTTTTAACTTTGTTGTTTCGATCCTTTCTCTCTATCGCATTTCTGTCGGCTGTGTGTATTGCCATTAGGGCTCCGGACAATGGATAATCAGTTAGATATGCTATTGGCGATCTTAGCAACGGTGAAGATGTTTGGTATCGATAGCAATAGCTGTTTCTCCAGTTTGTCGGTCTCCGATCCGCCAGAGGACCTAATGTTCGAGGGAGAGCGGGTGAATTCCGAGTACAGATCCTTGGCTTACTCGACAATTCTGGAGACTCCAAAGCCATGTATTATTATTTATTTTTTTGTATGATTTTCCATTCTTAATATGAGCCTGAAAAACTATCTCTCTGTTTTGGATGAATAAATTGGCTTTCCTGCTTGCCATTTAATTTATTACACTACTACCTAAGCTTTTATCAGAAACATGTTGTAGTTGATAATATTTTGAATGGCAAATGTTTTTTTGTACTTCTTGGGTCTGGATTGAGAAACAAGTTTTAGTTGATTTTTTGTACCATTGTGTTCTGATGTTGGCTCTAGGATACACACTATTAGAAGTTTGGTCAATGAAGTGCTCTTACCCTTTCTTTTCATTCCTATTTTAATACTGAATTTTAGAAAGGGAGTTTTCTTGGAATTAGAAAGGGGGTTTTCTACATAAAGTTGAATAACATGATATTATTGCAAATTCAAAGCAATACTGTTATTTCAACCCCACCTGTATAACATACATATTTCAAGGAAGTGTCTATCAACCAAATTTGTTTATGAAAGTAGTTTGGGTGGCTTGAGTTGATGATTCCATCTTCCAACTGTGCAGTAACCCCCTTTTTATTTGTGCCATCTATGTGTTTGTTTAAATGTCCACATGAAATGAAGTAATTTTTTGGTCGCAAACCTCTGTTTATTACCTACTAATAGTGTATATCTAGAGAGAAGTGAGAGCTAGAGAGAGAAGTGCAGTAATATGCTTCAATAGAATGATTTTGTAACCCCTATAACTACTCCCAAAGGGAGTATTTATAGAGAAAATCAGGGTTGGGCTCCCAAGCCTTGGGCTTGGGAGGCCCATTTACAATTGGACCGCTACTGGGCCGAATACAAAGCCACTAATGGGCTGTACGAATGAGTAAGTATAAAATCTGATTCTGGGAGGTCTTCTTGGCCGACGAGGGCGCGGCCGACGAGGGCACGGCCGACGAGGGCACGGCCGACGAGGGTACCCGGGTTCCTTGGGCTCAGGACCATAATCCGAGTTGGCCCCTCATCGGCCAAAAGGAGTGCGCAAACACCCTCATCGGCCACACAAAGGAAATGAGGCCACCGTCCTCAAAACAAGGAACAACCTCAAACGGCTTCACCGGCCCAAACATAAATTTCAACCACCAACGTCCAGGAAAGGGAAAGCGCGCCTCCAACGGCCACCATTGAAAGAAGGACACTCATCGTCCCAAAACAAGTTAAGGAAACAACGGCCTCCCCGCCCACAACGAGGAATAGGTAACGGCCAAAGCACAGATCAGGATCACCAAAGAGGGAACAACGCCAACGCCGCAACGGCTAACGCCAACGCCAACGCCAACGTCGGCCAAAAGCAACAAAGCACAGAAATCTACTCTCCTTCACTTCGTCCACGTCTCAGCTTAGAGAGTGGGGGACTCCTGATGGAGTATATGGGTCTGAGCTCCAGGACCCACATACTCGGAAGAACAGAGCACAAGACAACAGAGTGGCGCCCTCGTCGGCCAAGACGCCCCCGTCGGCCGAAAAGGGGCCAACTCAGATTACGGTCCTGAACCCAAGGAACTCGGGTGCCCTCGTCGGCCGTGCCCTCGTCGGCCGTGCCCTCGTCGGTCACGCCCTCGTCGGCCACGAAGATCTCCCAGAAACGGATTCTATACTTACTCATTTGTACAACCCATTAGAGGCTTTGTATTCGGCCCAGTAGCGGTCCAGTTGTAAATGGGCCTCCCAAGCCCAAGGCTTGGGAGCCCAACCCTAATTTTCTCTATAAATACTCCCTTTGGGAGTAGTTATAGGGGTTACGAATTCATTCTATTGAAGCATATTATTGCACTTCTCTCTCTAGCTCTCACTTCTCTCTAGATATACTCTATCAACCACCTTTGAGGAGGCCGACGGCCCGGATTTGGGCATTCCTGCTGAGGCCGATGGTAATTCTTTCTTCGGCTTTCTGTCTTTATGTTTTGTCCTTTGCCTTACTAATCTGTTGTGTTTTTTTTCTTTGTAGATTTTGCCATGGACCGACGTTCTATGATGGCTATTGCCAAGGCCAAAGCGGCCGAGGAGCTGGCTGCTAAGGCAGCCGAGGCGGCCAGACGTGCCGCGGCCGGTGGGAGCGGGGCTACTGCTGATGCGGCCCCAAAGCCTGCTCCATCGAAGAAGAAAAGGCCGGCCACTGACGGCCAGAAAAAGTTAACCGAGGCCGGCCTGAGCGTCTCGAAGAAGACGAAGAGGGCTCCTTCCCCTTCTCCGGCTACTGAGGCCGGTACTCTGACTGTCCCCAGCGTGGACGATGGTGTCCCCGTCGTGGACCTTACTGCTGCTGACAATGCTGCCCCATCACTTCCTCTCGTCCAGGAACCACGGACGAAGAGGGCCGGCAAGGAGATTGCCGGTGCCACCTACCAGAAGGTGGTAGAATACCCCGTCGGCGGGGGCGTGTTTAATGATCTCGTCCCTGGCCACGTCGTCCTGGCCCAGGCCATGCCGGCCAAAGATCGGGCTTACTTGAAGAAGCTCGGGGACGTGAAGATTTACGAGGGCGGCATGGACCTCCTCGTCCAAGTAAGTTACTGTCCTTATGTTTTTGTCTTTCTCTTCGTCTGTGTAGAGTCTTTTGCCTGACCTTTGTTTTCCTTCTGCAGAGTGCCTTTATGCTTATGGAAAGCCATAAGAAGCAGTATTGGGAGATAGCTCGCTTGAAAGAGCTGGAGCAGAAGGTTGCCTCGGCCGACGAGGCGGTAGCTTGCCTTGATCGGCTCCGGGAGGATGCCAAGGCGTTGCAGGCAAGGGCTGATGAAGCCGCCGCAGCCAGGGACGATGCCCTGGCCAAGCTCGAGGAGAGCAAAAGGGAGCTCGAGGAGTCCCACAGGGCGCTTGAGGCCGAGAGGCGCAAGAGCGAGGAGGCCGTCAAGGCGAAGGCTGAGGCCGAGGCCGTCGTCGTGAGGGCTGCCGATGAGGCCGTCGAGAAGTTCCTGGCCGAGGGGTGGAAGGCCGATGAGAGGCTCCCCTGGTGCTACGAGGTGGTGGCCGCCAGGCTTGAGAGTTGGGGGATGAACTCCCCCGCCGGCCAGGAGTATTTCAGCCGAGAGATGTCTGTGTATTATAACCTGGGCCAGGAGCGGATGCAAAGGCTCCTGTGTCGGCGGCTATCCCGGGCGTTGAAGGCCATGAATTACACGTCTGGGTGGGCTAGACGGAACCTGAAGCTGCCGAAGCTGATGAAGGATCCAGAAGAGCAGGCCAAGCTTCCGCTGTCGGAGCGAGAGTCCCCCATAGAAAGCTCCGGCCTCGGCGAGCCGGACTACACTGAATTCGACTTCCTGGACGATGCCACTAGCGCTGCGGCCGCCGCCGAGGAGGGAATTGACGAGGCCGAAGAGGCCGCCGAGGAGGGAGCCGACGAGGTTGAAGAGCCAGCCGCGGATGAAGGTGCCCCGGAGGCTTGATCGGCTATTCCCTGTTGTAATTAACTTTTCATTTTTTGCCAAATGATGTAACGGCCGAAGTGCCCCCAATTGTAATGAACTCACTATCAATTGAAGAAATTTTTGCTGTCCTTTTCGGCTTTGAATCCCTTGTATGCTTGTTTGCTTTTTGTCATTTGTTGAAATTTTTTCTAAGTGTCAAGGTCACAACTGGAGTCACCTCGCGAGTGCACGCTACGTCCATGGGGTAGTCTACCCTGTCCCGATGGCCTGGTCGGCTTGTTCGTCGTTGCTGTACTACAATAACACTTAGGACTTTTTTCATAAAATTTCCTAAGTGTTTTGGGTTCACTTGGATGCCTTTTTCCCGGCCTGGTGGCTTGATCGGCCTGGCCGTCGTTTCTCTATTATCATAACACTTAGGATTTTTTCAAAAATTTCCTAAGTGTTTTGGATTCTTGTAGTTGCTTCCCTTCCGGCCTGGTGGCCTTGTCGGCCTAACCGGTGTTGATGTAGTATCATAACACTTAGGATTTTTTCAAAAAAATTCCTAAATGTTTTGGATCCACGAAGTTGCTATCTTTCCGGCCTGGAGGCTTTGTCGGCCTGACCGGTGCTCCTTTGCTATCAACATAACACTTAGGATTTTTTCAAGAATTTCCTAAGTGTTTTTGGGTTCACTTAGGTGCTTTCCCTTCGGTCTTGACCGTGGTGTCCGCTCCGTCCAGGCGTTGGATTTCTTCCCTTTTGTTAGAATTTTCTCAAATGTCTAACTTCAAGTGGCTTAGTGTTCTCGTCGTCCTGGCAGTGGGTTTATCATCGTTGGCAAATGCTCTGGGAGATTTCCCAAGTGTTTGTACCAGTGTCGTTGTCGGCCTGCATTCCTGTGTTGTGGCCGATAAGGGCACCTTCACCTTAGTCTTTTGGACTTTGAATTTTTCCCAAGTACATATACAAGGCGTAGGTAGCTAACGGCCTTGGAATATATATGTACCCGCTTCGTCCAGAGTTCTTCCAGGTGTAAATGCTGGGCATTTACTTCTTTGCGGTACCGCTGTCGGCCAAGGAGGTGGTCCTACCTTCGTCGGCCAGCCATGGTTCCTTGTTGAGGAATCCTCTTTTCTTTTTTCTCAGGATTTTTTTTTTCTAAGTGTTTGGTAAACACTTGAACCAATTCCCAGAGAACTTTCGCTTGACCAACAGCCTTGGTTCCAGTGCCTGTATCGGCTATACTGGCTGTTGTGGCAAGTAAGGATTGTTTCCTGATTGCTTGATTCTTCCGCGGGTGTGTGCAGTGCCCGCTTCGTCCTGGTCATCCTCAGGATTGTGATTCTTTGTTTCATACCAAGCGTTGGTGCTTCAAAGGACTGTGGCCGATGAAGGTCACCTCTTGCTTGTCACCCAACTGATGCGGTTAGGGTTTTATAGGCGTGTGTCGGCCTTGATCATTCCCTTGTAGTGCGTGGACGTGTCGTCCTTGTTACCTGTTTGTGGTACTATACTTGTGTTCAACTGATATGTACTTGGCCAAAATGGGCCTGAAGTGTGGGGATTTTATTTTTCTTTGCTCGAGGCCGGCTAGTGTGCACGGCCGTCGGCTTCCCTCTTTTTCCCTTATATATATATATATTTTTTTTTTTCGTTTCGGGGGGTATCCTTCTTTCAGGCTTCGGCCAAAGGGTGTGCTCGTCCTTCGGCCGGTTCGGACTTCGTTTATAACGTCCGTGGTCTCAGGGCGGGTCCCGTCGCCTATTTATGACGCGGGCTAGACTTTTGGTCGGTTTCCAACGGCTGTCGTTGCCCATCCCTGAGTTTTGGGATTTTGTCACCTCGGCCATGATTTCAGGCCTATCGTCCTGCGATCTGGCGCGTGGACGACGCGGTGAGCTTCCCGTTTCAAGACGTGGGCCGTTTGCGGGCCCCTCGTCCTGGGGACATCGTCGGCCATACCTGAGCGTTTCGCTTCTAGGCTTACGGGGCCAGGGCGATGTGCTCTCTCAGCTAGGCCTGAGCCCTTCGCTGATACAAAATACAATGGAGTGCCTGAGCTTGTCGCTCGTAGGCTGCGAATGCAAAGGGCCATGTCGGCCAGACCTGAGCTTTTTGCTCTAAGGGGGCCGACGAGGGCACCTGCTTAATGTTTTACTTTGAATTTCCAGAGAAAAAATCAGAACATGATTTTATTCATAAGTGGCTCGAGGCCGAGGGTGGCGTTCAATCAGTAACCCGTTAAGGGGTGAGGGCTTCGCCGTCTGCACCTCCTTCGGATTACTGATAAAACTTCACCAGATGGTGTACATTCCATGTTCGTGGTACATTGGACCCATTCGGGCGTTTAAGCTTGTAGGTGCCGGGTTTGACCACGGCACTGACGATGTAGGGCCCTTCGTATTTCAATGCTAGCTTGCCACCCTCTGTCGGCTGGCTTGCTTCCCTTCGGCGGAGGACGTAGTTCCCCACCTGAAATTCCCGGGAACGTACCTTGGCGTCATAGTATGATTTCACTTGACGCCGGTAGTTCTCTGCTCGGACGTAAGCTTGCTCACGCCTCTCATCAACCAGGTGTAGGTCAATCTTCATGTTCTCTTCGTTGGTGTCAGGCTCATATTGTTCCACCCGCCGGCTGGGGATGGCAACTTCCGTGGGCGCCTTTGCTTCAAAGCCGTAGCACAGGGCGAAAGGCGTTTCACCTGTCGCCCTCCTCGGCGTGGTTCTGTAGCACCACAGGATGTTGGGGAGCTCGTCGACCCAACTACCTCCTGCGGCCTGGAGGTTCTTCTTCAACCCCTCCATAATTGTTCTGTTGGCGTTCTCGACCTGCCCGTTTCCCTGAGGATAGGCAACGGAGGAGAAACGGTGCCTCACCCCAAACTCCCGGAGGAGCTCCTGGAAAGGGGCTGCCTCGAATTGGGTGCCGTTGTCTGATATGATCTCCTGGGGGACGCCAAAGCGTATGATGATGTTCTTGTAAACAAATTTTTGGCATCTGGCCCCCGTGATGCTGGCCAAGGGTTCCGCCTCGACCCACTTGGTGAAGTAATCGACGACGACGATGATGTAGCGGTTATTCCCTGCGGCTCTGGGCAGGGGGCCGACCAGGTCAATCCCCCATCTGGAGAATGGAATTGCGGTGCTGACAGGGGCATAGTTGACAGCTGGCCGACCAGGGGCCTTCTGGAGTACCTGGCATGTGGTGCACTTCCTGGCCAGGTCAGCGCAGTCCCGTGCCATCGTCGGCCAGAAGAAACCCTGGACGACGAGACGCCGGGACATGCTGAAAGGGCCCTGGTGTGAGGAGCAGACGCCACAATGAACTTCTTCCATGGCGGTGTCGGCCTCGTCCTGGTGCAGGCATCGGAGGAGAGTGCCATTATAGGACCGTTTGTAGAGCTTGCCATCTTCTATGGTGTAGCTTGGGGCCCTGAGTTTGGCAAGTTTGGCCCTCTCCTCGTCCTGGGGCAGCTCCCCCGTTGTGATGAAGGTGGCGATGTCGGAGATCCAGTCCTCTGGCCGCTGTTGGACGCATAAGACGGGGCTGGCATGGATGCTGGACATGCTCAACTCCTCGATCTTGGCCAACTGGGAGATGTGCTCCGGGGTGTCCGAGCTGAGCTTGGAGAGGATGTCGGCTTCAGCGTTCTCGGCCCTTGGGATCTGAGTGATCTCGTGGGTTTCAAACGCTTTCAGCAATTCCTCCGCCGCTTGTCTGTACTGCCTCATCCGGCCTTCCTTTGCTTCATACGATCCCTCCACCTGGCCCACTACCAGTTTGGAGTCGCACTTGATTTTGAGGTGCTTGGCCTTGAGGCCGGCGGCGAGTCTGAGACCGCTGAGGAGGGCCTCATACTCGGCTTCGTTGTTGGATACCCTGAAGTTGAAGCGGATGGCATAGTAAGCTCTGAACCCTTCAGGGGATATGAGGACGACGACGCCGCCGCATGATTTCGCGGCCGACGAGCCGTCAGTGAACAGGGTCCACGTATCGTCCGGCTCCGGCCCGGGGTTGGCGACGGCCGTCTCCCTTGCTGTGCATTCAATGACGAAGTCGGCCAAGGCTTGCCCTTTGATGGATGGCCTTGGCTTGATCTCAATCTGAAACTGGCTGAGGAAGATCGCCCATTTCACCATCCTCGAGGAGCTTGTGGGGCTCCTCATGAGTGCGCCAAGAGGCTGCTGGGTCAGCACATGTACGGTATGGGCTTGGAAATAGTGCCCCAGCTTCTTCACTGTGTGGACGATGGCCAGCACCGTCTTCTCAATGGGGGAGTACCTGAGCTCGGCCTCCCTGAGTGTCTTGCTGATGTAGAAGATGGCCTTCTGCACCCCTTCGTCCTCACGGATGAGCACGGAGCTGACGGCCGACGTGCTCACCCCTAAGTACAAGAAGAGGGTTTCGCCGGCTCTGGGCTTGGAGAGCACGGGCGGGGACGACAAGTACCTTTTCAATTCGTCGAATGCTTCCTTGCACTCCGTCGTCCACTTGAAGCTGTTGGCTTTTCGCATGATCTGAAAGAAGGGGAGTGCCCTCTCGGCGGACCTGGAGAGGAACCGGTTCAAGGCCGCCAGGCGCCCCGTCAGTCGCTGTACCTCCTTGACGTTGCGGGGCGGCTCCATGTTGATGATGGCCTGCGTCTTCTCCGGGTTTATCTCGATGCCTCTTCGGCTGACCATGTAGCCAAGTAACTTGCCGCCCTGGACGCCGAAGGCGCACTTCTTGGGGTTAAGGCGGAGCCTGAACTCCTTCATGATTTCAAAGATCTCCCGGAGGTCGTCGGCGTGGGAGATGGCCTGCCTGCTCTTGACGATCATGTCGTCGACGTACGCCTCCATCGTCCGGCCAAGGACCACTCTGAAGATTTTGGCCACCATCCTAGTATAGGTGGCGCCGGAGTTTTTGAGTCCGAAGGCCATGACGAGGTAGCAAAAGATTCCCTTTGGGGTCCTGAATGTCGTCTTCTCGGCGTCATCTTCATGCATGGAGATCTGGTGGTACCCTCTGAAAGCGTCGAGGAACGACATCAACTCGCGCCCCGCCGTCTCGTCCACCAGCTGATCAATGTTGGGGAGAGGGAACGGGTCCATGGGGCACGCCTTGTTCAGGTCAGTGTAGTCAACACACATTCTGAACGTCGGCGGTTTTTGTGCGAGGACGACGTTGGCCAACCATGTCGGGTACTTCACCTCTTTAATGTGTTTGATTGAGAGGAGCATGGCGACCTCCCCTTTGACGAAGTCCCGCCTGTCGGCGGACAAGTAGCGCCGCTTCTGTTTGACAGGTGCGGAGGTCGGATCGACGGTCAGCCGGTGAGTGATCACCTGGCGGCTGATGCCTGGCATATCGTCCGGGCCCCACGCGAAGACAACGGCGTATGACCGTAGGACGAGGAGGATGTCGTCTCGTTGGTCCTGAGGGAGTTGCTTTCCGACCCTGAGAACCCGCTCCGGCCGGGAGGTATCCAGAGGGATTTCCTCGACCTCCTCGGCCGGCTCCGCATGTGGCCTCTCCTCGTCCATGGCGACGGCGGCCGTAATGGTGTCTATCCTCTGTCCTTCCCTTTCGACTGGCCTCTTTAGCTTGAGGTAGCAAGCTCTGGCTATCCTCTGATTTCCTCTGGCGTAGCCGATGCCGTCATTGGTGGGGAACTTCAAACATAAGTGCTTCATGGAGATGATGGTCTCCAAGTCCTCCAGCGCTGGCCGGCCCAAGATCAGGTTGTGGGCGCACTGGAGGTTGACCACCATGAACTCCATGTCAATTTTGGCGTGGTGGGGGCCGTCACCGACTTCCACGGGGAGGACTATCGTGCCCTCGGCGTCGATAGAGTCCCCGGTGAAGCCGGATAACGGGGTCTTGATCGGCTTCAGCAAAGCTCTGTCCAGCTTCAGCTGCTTGAAGGTGTTCAGGTACATCACGTTGACGGAGCTCCCCGTATCGATGTAAGTACGGTGGATGATGGAGTCACCGATCTCACATCGGATGACGAGGGCGTCCCTGTGTGACTCTGTACCCGGAGGCAGATCCTTGTCGGTGAAGGTGATCGCCTCCGTTCGCTGCTTCTTCGGCTGAGGGGGAACGTGGGACACCTCCCCAATGTAAAGGGATTGGGCCCATTTCTTTCTCTGAGTGGCGGAGTCCCCCCCAGTGTTCCCACCTACGATGAGGTGGATGTGATTCTTCTTCGGCGGAGGCTCCTCGAAGTCCTCGTCGTCGCTGAGCCTACCAATCTCGCGCTTCTTCGCAGAGGGTTCGCCCCCATGTTTGCCGGTGTTTACCCAAGTGTTTTTACGTGGGCCACCTTTGACAAACTGGGAGAGTTCCCCCTGGCGAATAAGGCGCTCGATGGCCTTCTTCAATGTGATGCAATCGTCGGTGTTGTGCGACGAGTTCTTGTGGAACCGGCAGTACGTGCCGCCCTGCTGGATGGCAAGGATCTCCTCGGCCGGCCGAGGAGCCTGCTCGATGAGGCCGTGCTTCTCGGCATAATCGAGGATGGTGCCGACCGGGTGGGTGAGGGTTACCCCCGGCCGTTCCAGCCTCGGCCGCCAGTGGCGGTCTTTCTTACTCTGTCCACCAGAGCCGTGGCGGCCCTGGGCACCCTGGCCGGCCGGGGACGGACCCGGGGCCGGCGAAGGATTTGTCTTCTTGGGGGGATGGTCCCCCTCTCTCTTGTGATTGTGGAGCTCGTCGGTGTCGGCATACAAGCCTCCGCGTTGGAGCGCCTTGGCGTACGACCTCGGGGGGTCGGTGATGAGGCTCCTGGCGTACGGGGAGTTGCGGAGGGCTCCCTGGTACAAGGCGAGGAGGGTGCGCTCATCGGCCCCCTCGACCTCCTCGGTCTCCCTCGTCCACCGATCGATGAATGACCGGAGGGACTCCTCGTGCTGCTGCTTGACGGAGAGGAGGTGGGTGAAATACTTCTTGGCGCGCTTCCTCCCGGCAAAGTGAGTGAGGAAGCGATGGGCGAGATCCTGCCATGAGTCGATGCTTCCTTCTGGCAGTCCGTTGAACCACTCGTACGCTGGCCCCTCGAGAGTAGAGAGGAACCAACGGCAGAGGTATTCGTCGGACGCGTTCACCATCAGCATGTTGTTCTGGTAACGGCTGAAGTGCTCCTGGGGGTCTGATCGGTCATCGTAGGACTTGATGGCGTTCCCCCTGTACTTCTCAGGGATGGGGGCCGAGAGGACCCTGTTGGTGAAAGGGGTCCTCGTCCTGACCTGGATGATGGGGTCACCCCACCCTTCGGCCAGCTCCCTCTCCAGGGCGCTAACTTTGTTCATGAGCGCGTTGAGGCCGGGGTCGTTGGAGGCGCCGGCCGTAGGGATGTTGGCCGACTGCTTGGCCTCCATCTGAGCCAGCCTCCTTTCCAGCTGGGCGATGACCTCGTCCCGGGGGTCCCTGTCGGCCGTGGCGGCGCCCGACTGGTTCCTCAGGCGCTCGTTGTGAGCCGCGTTGATCTGGTGACGCATGTCATCCTCGTGCAACTTCCCCTTGCCCTTGTCCGGGCGGGGCTGGTCCGCTTTCCGGGACACAGACCCCAAACTTTCCCTTGGCGAGCCAGGACGAAGATCGCCAATCCGTCCCGCCATCCTCTCCGAAACCGGACGACGGCGCGTGTCACCTAGCCTATTGAAGGCAGAGGCTTTCCCACGCGCTGGGGTCTGCCCGGGCCGAAGAGGGGAAGCAGGGTGGGAGTGGGACGACGCCATGTCCTGGGCCACAACCCCCTCATTGTTGCCTATCTGGACGGCCAACGGTTGGGGATGAGGAGGTGGAGTGACGTTTCCCCCGGTCCTTGGCAAGAGTGCGCTGAGGACGGTGGGGTTCTGAGCTAGGCTGGCGATGATGACCGACAGCGCGGCCTGGACCTGTGGATCCACGGACGGAGAGGCCGCGGCCATAGGCTGTGATCCGCCTTTTCAGCTCGCTTCTTGTCCAAGTCGAGGCGGGCATCAGGGGCGCCGCCGTTGAGTTGGTTGCGGAGGTCCGTTGTGAGGTTGAAGGCCTCCTGGAAGAGGTCCCCTCCGCCGACCTGGTCGGCCGTGGCGTCCTCATCGTGCTCCCTGGGCTCTTGGTCCTCAGGGATGACTTTGCTGACGAGGTTGCGGTTTGACTTAGTTCTCCCCATGATCAGTGGTTAGCTGTGCTTGGTAGCGACGAAGGGTGCTAACTTGATTGTTCTAGCTCTCAACGAGAGCACCAAATGATAGTGTATATCTAGAGAGAAGTGAGAGCTAGAGAGAGAAGTGCAGTAATATGCTTCAATAGAATGATTTTGTAACCCCTATAACTACTCCCAAAGGGAGTATTTATAGAGAAAATCAGGGTTGGGCTCCCAAGCCTTGGGCTTGGGAGGCCCATTTACAACTGGACCGCTACTGGGCCGAATACAAAGCCACTAATGGGCTGTACGAATGAGTAAGTATAAAATCTGATTCTGGGAGGTCTTCTTGGCCGACGAGGGCACGGCCGATGAGGGTACCCGGGTTCCTTGGGCTCAGGACCATAATCCGAGTTGGCCCCTTTTCGGCCGACGGGGGCGTCTTGGCCGACGAGGGCGCCACTCTGTTGTCTTGTGCTTTCTGTTCTTCCGAGTATGTGGGTCCGGGGGCTCAGACCCATATACTCCATCACCTACCCTGTTTTATTTCAGCTTTTTAAAAAATGTCTCATGATAAAAAATTTATTTTCTTTGCAATCTGTTTACATATTGAAAAGATAAGTTGTTATGGTTGAGTTTTAGTTTCGTACAAAGATGTTAGTTTCCTCTCTTTTATAAAGTTTACATTAGAATTTATAAAGTTTCATAGACAAAATTTTATCTGCTATAAAAGTTATACAACTTATGAAGTTTCAAAGATTTACATAGTTTTATATTAGCTGATAATAGTATTCAAAGTAGCAGTTGCAAGAAGTCTCAGTTTTTTTTTTTGCTTAAACAAGTTGTATAATTGATTTTGAGTTCTTCACATGATGTGAACTACAAGTTATGAATTTCTGGATAGAAGTTATGGTTCTAGCTCTGGGAGTGTGTTACGATGTTTTCTTTTTACCTGGCAGCTTAAACGGTGATGACGTCTATTTACAAGTCCAAACACGCTTGCTGAGCATGTGAATTTTATTTGTGTACTTGCATTTTGAATTCTTTAAAGTTTGAAAGTCATGCCATGCTAGAGTTATTTGTGTAGTGTGGTTTAATTTAGCGTTAAAATATGAAAGCATGTCTGTAATGCAAGGTCTTGTTTGAACCGGTTAGTTAACTGCATGCTTAATTCAGGTTGTCGTGTATTGATAAACAATGCATCCCTTCATAAAATTTGTAATAGAGTCATTAATACTTTGAAATTCGAACTGTGTTGGGCTGCTTTTTGTAACTTGAATTCTCTTTTTAGACCTAAGATAATCCTACATGTTCTAAACCAGTTCAACCCTTTTTGAGTTTCATAAAAAATTCAAATTACACACATTTTTGCTAAAACAAGGGAAAAAGCACCACTTTTGCATCTTTGCTAAGCGACGGGTGTCCGGGTTACTGACCTACTTTTATTCCCTTAATTTGTCTGAACTTCATGTTAATAAAGGTTATTTCTTTATCCATTGTACCTTTTATTGTTATGAATAAAATCATCGTTTTCCAAAAAAAAAAGGTTATTTCATAAACATCAAGGTTAGACATAATCTGCTTCTCTTTTAACATATATTGTTTGATCTACATTTGTTTCTCTTTTTATGTCTTTGCCTTTGAAATCCATCAGGAATTTGCTGCTGCTTTTGGGGAAGACAAACTTAAACCACTCTACACATCAGATCCTATTCATGAGACCGTAAGTTCTCATGAATCACCACCATCACCCCCTTTTGTTCTTTCGAACCATCTTCAATTTGAATCTGTTTATTCGACTCTATCCATATGCTTACATATGCAGAACGAATTGAAGATGATGTAAAAATTGTTGTGGGAAATAATTTTGAAGCAATACTTTTAGACAAGTCGAAAGATGCTCTCCTTAAGGTGTGCATGATTGTAGTCTACTTCTATTTTCCTGATTGTGGTTGGGTGTAGGAGAGGGCTGATCGTGCGGTAAAGCTGCAGGGTTGTTTGTAGGCCGGGTTGGGGGTAATAGATTCCCAGAGGTGTTGGAAAGGGACTTTATGGGTGTGGAGGATATTTATTTGGTTATAACCTACTACTCAACACAGTCGAGGAGAATAAGTCCTTAATTGTTTGTATCTATTATTTGGAACTTATGTAGTTTTTTTCAGATATTCAAATTGAGAGTCTTGATTCTTTTTCATGTCTTTGTGCTCCAACGGAGGACAACCTTATATTCAATAAGCTCTTTGCTAAGTTTCCTTCAGTTCTTGTTCCTTTATTAAATCATGATCACTTTTGGTTTCATATCTGTATTCATGTTTAGAAAGTGTGTATGCATATTTATCGGAATGGAGTTTTTGAAAGATCAGATGATGTTATTAAAATTTATCTAAAAAATAATGAATTAATGACATTCTTTTGAGTCTTAACTCAATAATAATTCAGGAAAATATTTTCTGATATGTTTGTCTTCTATGACAGTGAGTGCGGATGTCAGTCATGAGTTGCATTGAAGCACTTCAGGTTGTGTGGTCGCGTGTTAATTTCTCTAAATTTAGAAACGGTGCTCCTCTTTGGCTCTTTCTTAGTGCTTCATCATTGTATTTGCGTGGATTCATTTTCTTGAAGATCTGTTGAGTCTGGTTTTTTGAAAGCTTACTATATACAAATGATGGCCTTGATTAATGCATTTTTTCATTTTCTTTGTTTTGCTTGGACGAGAGCTTCTTTTTACTGTTGTCTCACAGGAAGAGAAGTATAAAACAAAGGTATAAAATAGTCCTATTAATTTATTTATTTTAACATTTCTTTTGTAAAAAGGGTGACTTGTTATCATCTTAGATTTTAACATTTTCTGCAAAACCAAATATCTTTGCCAAAGGTATGCATGTATGTAATTGTTCAAAGGCTGGGAGATGCAAAGAGCTTCACAATTTTTTCAACCCCTCAAAGTCTTGAAAAAAGGAACATCTAGTATTAGGATTCCAACTAACTTTTCAAAAAACTTTTAAAGAACTCAAAGACTTCACAAAGACTAAGTCTGTGGTCTATTCAAAAGCCCTTATTGTGGCAGCTAAGTATTAAGTAACTACTTAATGTCTTGGGAAACAGGTTAATGCAAAGCATATACACGGAATATGAAAAATTGATAAATAACAATAGATTTGTCCAAGAATAGAGAAATTTATTCAAAATAACACGAAATTGAAAATGAAATTGGAAAAAATGTAATTGTAACTAATCAGACCTAAAATATCCATAGAGCAATCACGAAATTGTAACTAACTAAATTCAAAATAACTATGAAAACTAACTCTAATAGTCTAGTGTATCTCTGTATTGGTTTCATCAATAGTAAAATCAAACATGTGATCGAGAGATCTCTTCAACACCACTTCATGCAAAATGTTGAATTTATCCAAGACCAGATCTAGTGCCATCTTAAGCCTTGTACCATCATCGACCTGTAAATTATAAAAAAATCATCACATAAGCAATCTCTGTATGTTATCGTTTTCTAGATTATAATATGTCAATTATATTTAGGTACCTCAATCTTGTATCCACCACTACCCATTGATGCCATCCACTCGTAAACCCACACGCCACAATTATTTCTGTTATAATGTACAAAAATTAGAGTAGCAAATAGATATATATTAACAATTTTTAAGTATGCTAAAACTCACGATCCAGGTTGTTGACGATGCAATCCACTTGGGGTGACATGAGTGAATTGTGAAACAACGTGTTTGCTTGTTTGTTTAAACTCATAGAAAGAACAATCTTGCAGTAGGTATTCCATAAATGATGCCTGAAAAATAAATGATTAAATAACATTTAAGCATTATGGTGCATACTAAAAAATATGATGCACTTTCATATTTATTATACCACTATTTTGATGTTGTTACTTCTTAGTGACATTCGTGACGGATCAGGACACGAATCAAGATATACCAACTGCTGCTTCTCAAAGTCAATAGCAAGTAGAAACCAGTGAAAGTTTCCATCATTGATCGGAACAAATACCTACGGTAAATTAAGTTAATAACTTCTAAAGAATTATGTGATTTCCTTTTCATAGTGAAATTCAAGAACGTGGAAGATTCTTATATATAAACATGTGTACCTTACGCAACATATCAACCTTGCCCATGAATCTATCCATGTACTGTGAAATAATTTTTCCTTTGGGAGCATTCCAAGACATAATTGATTGCTGTAAAAATGAAAACAATGAATACATTCATAACTGCTAATCAGGTGTTAAAAATAAACATTCGTAAGTTGTATTAATATCCTTACCGAAAATGTAGTGGGCAAAAACCAATGCCCTGTGTGCTTTGAAGTCGACCTTTCATTCAAAGTGAGCACACACACACACAAGTTAATAATCTGTAGTGACGAACGTAACCATTGACATCGTGATATATAAATGCTCTTGGGTATTAATCCCATAGAGGTAAGATCGGTCCCAAAAAATCAGCATATTAATCTAAATAACTATCAATATCAACTTAGTTAATTTAATTAGACCTCAAATAGGTACTATATTAGATAATGGTTCGATTTAGAAACTAACAATTTCTTTTGTGTAGATTTATCTGTGTCAACAATTTAAAATATTAAAGCATTATGCGATTTCTGTTTTTAGTAGTAATCAACAAACAAATCTTCAGTGTGAGGTTGAAAAGTATAAAAAAATAACTGTACATATGATATTTCGAAGGATCTGGAAACATTGATAGGCAGTGCAGTGGGAAAAGATCAGTTGCATCATGTTGGCTTTAGTTTCTGGTTTAATGATGGCCTTCTACTACCTACGTCTCAGCAAGGTCATGTTTTTCAAGGTACATCCTTTTAATTTCAGTAACATACAACTATAGGAGCATGGAAATAATCAATTATAGTTATATTTCTCAATTTGTTTGTTCGTTAAACCAAATTTAGCGTACTTAACATGTTTGGGATATTTATTTGGAAAATATACATTAACTATAATGAAAAATAGCATATTTTTTCATACGAGAATCTTGATGGGTCAAAAAGGGTTAGATACTTACATCTTGATCGATCATTCTGCCAGGAATTAGCTTTAGAAGTAAATTCCTACTTCCTTCGCAAATATCCATATGAGTTCTAACCAAAGTCTCTAAGCTGAAAGAAGGGACACATCAATATTACAATATATTGTTATGTGATGGAAAAATATAAAAGAAAAATATTAAAAACAGTAAATATTTTATTACCCATCATCTTTTTTGAAAAAGATATATGTTGCCACTGCTACTTTTTCATCAGTCAAGAATGTACTTTGTTTTGGTTGGAACATTCTCGATAAACACTACATAATGATGTAGAACTAGATGAGATCATGTAATGCATTTGTAAAATAAAGCTATAAGAGTGCATGTTATTATACATACTTGTGGTATTTTGGTTCCCATTAACGTTGCATTGAATTGGGAGTTGATGTAGTAACCTGTTGGTGAACAGGTTGTTGTTAATACCACGTCACGAACATTTTTCCCTGAGCTTTTAGAAAACAGTTTCCTTTGCACTCTTTTGCTTGATTCTCCAGGATGAAATTTAGTTGGTGTGTGGTGTTGGTTAGGGGTGAATGGTAGGATTTGAGGTGGTGTTTGCCATGGGCTTGATTTTTTGTTTTGATCCAGAAAGCTCTCCTTTAAGCTATCCATTGATTGAACAATGCTGGCCATAGTAGATTCCAATTTGCTTACACGTTCAGCGAGAATCTGCTTCCAAAAGAAACGAAACCAGGATGTCAAATAGATTTACAAGCTGGCAACAAGGTAACAGACCAACTTTGAACTCCACTAAAGCTGGAAACATTTTGTGTTACCTCAGTTTTGCGTTTTCATTTATTATCCTATAGGAACAACTAAAAAATAATGGAGGGGATATATTATATATATTCATGCACACTATGCTATAGCAAATCAAAGAGACTACTTATTATAAAAATTAATAAAACCTAGATTTTGGCAGAATCCCTATTGACTTTGTGTGTTAGATGTTACATATTTGGCAGGTCTTCCGATCCATAGATTCAGGGTCTTTGAAAGGGTTCCCAAAAGATGTTCAAACAGCCAATACACAGGTGTTGTATTGTTGCATTTGGGAAATATTATTATAGTTGTTATACAGTATTTTAATGCATAAAAAGGCTCTATTTTCATTTTCAATGTAAGGTGAGGTTGGCCTGTCTATATAACAGTTGCCTTTCTCTAATGTTGCAGAATCTAGTTTGCGCAAAAGATTTAGTAATTGACAGGAGCATCCAAATGGCATACATCCAGGCAATACGGCGTGCCCAACATTTTATTTACATCGAAAATCAGTATTTCCTCGGATCATCATATGCTTGGCCATCCTACAAGGATTCAGGTTTCACCCATTTTTCGTAGTGAGGTTAGTGGAGTTGGAAGTCTAGTTGAGGTTAGTTATTCACTCCATAATAATTTCTTATGGTGAAGAGAAACATAGCAGCGATCCTTATGTTCATATTGCAATTCTTATTAGGTAGTTAATGGACTGCCTAAAAGGGAGGACTGCAATGAACATATTCTCTTGGAGACAATATACCTACAGGTTTTTTAATTCACTACTTTAAGTCATGCCTCTTTTAAATTCTTTAAAAGGCAGTTTGGGAGAGTAGTAGCTTTTTGACAAGTAATCACTTTTATACTTTAATGACTTCTATACATCCACATGTATTAATGCATTGAATTACGTACAAGAAAAGGGGTGTTTTTAAAAATAATCGAACGGTTGAATCACTAAAGCTCATTGGATATGAACCATTATAAAGAATACTTGTAGGATGGGTATTGACTTATAATAAAACTGAAACACATATATCATCATAAAAATATTGACTATGGAATATTACCTCATTGTTGGGCTTCTCATGTGCTTTCAAACTTGCATCATCGCACAAATTATCACTGTGATTTAGAAAAATAAAATATTACACATGCTTACGCATAACATAGTTGTTAAATTTATTTTCAGGTTAAGAAAACAATATTTACCTAGAAGAGATTTGAATCACAAATGCATCATTCTTGGCTTCCTTAATCTTGATGGGAGAGTTGCAAGAATCCTCATCTAAATTGATGTACCTTGTCCGTTTTGCTGTAGCCGTATTTTTGTTGGCAGCCATTGGGGCAGGGTTGAAAGAGAAGTGGCGCAGGGTTGAGAGAGAAGTGGCGCAGGCTTTGAGGGAGAAGTGGCGCAGGTTTGAGGCAGAGTGAACGTAGTATTGGCGCAGGTTTAAGAGATTATATAGAGTTTAGGTTTTGTAAAGTTTCCTAGTTCAAATGCAACACAATAAGGTAGTATCCTATTGTAATAGAGATATGTATTTCTCAACTCTCAAGAAAAATAATTGTACACCAAAAATAATAATTTCACTTTAAAAATAAGATTATTATTATTATTATTATTATTAATAATATCATTATTATTATTATTATTATTATTATTATTATTATTATTATGTTGTTGTTGTTGTTGATATTTTTTTTTGAAAGTTTGTTGATATTATTAAAAATAGGAAACTAACCTGAATGTGTCTACGTCCAGATAATTGGTATTATTAAAAGTTATTTCTAAAGTATATACGGAGTATCATTATTGATTCATGAAAGGTAGTTGATATTATTTAAAGGGGTATAATGTTTAAGTCATGATAAAGTTATATTTTCATCATCTTAATCGTCATCCTCCTCATCATCATTATCCCTATCGATCATCATGATCACCATCATTATCCCTATTGATCATCATCATCTTGATTATCCCTATTGATCATCATGATCATTATCCCTATCCATCATGATCATCATCATCATTGTCCCTATCGATCATCATCATCATAATCATTATCCGTATCGATCATCATCATGAGCATTATCCCTATCGATCATCATCATTATCCCTATTGATCGTCATTGTCATTATCACTATCGATCATCATCATCATCGTCATGGTCATTATCCCTATCGATCATGATCATCATCATTATCCCTATTGATCATCATCATCATTATCCCTATCGATAATCATCATCATCATAATCATTATCTCTATCGATCATGATCATCATCATCATTATCCCTATCGATCATGATCATCGTCATTATCCCTATTGATCATCATCATCATCATCATTATCCCTATCGATCATCATCATCATCATAATCATTATCCCTATCGATCATGATCATCATCATTATCCCCATCGATCATCATCATCATCATAATCATTATCCATATTGATCATCATCATCAGTATCCCTATCAATCATCATCATCATAATCATTATCCATATCGATCATCATCATGATCATTATCCCTATCAATCATGATCATCATCATTATCCATATTGATCATCATAATCATCATTATCCCTATCGATCATCATAATCATTATCCCTATCGATCATAATCATTATCCCTATTGTGATCATCATTGTCATTATCACTATTGATCCTCATCATCATCATCATCATAATCATTATCACTATCGATCATCATCATCATCATCATCATCATCATTATCCGTATCGATCATCATCATGATCATTATCCCTATCAATCATGATCATCATCATTATCCATATTGATCATCATCATCATTATCCCTATCGATCATCATAATCATCATAATCATTATCCCTATCGATCATCATCATTATCCCTATTGTGATCATCATTGTCATTATAACTATCGATCATCATCATCATAATCATTATCCCTATCGATCATGATCATCATCATTATCCCTATTGATCATCATCATCATCATTATCCCTATCGATCATCATCATCATCATTATCCCTATCGATCATGATCATCATCATTATCCCTATTGATCATCATCATCATCATTATCCCTATCGATCTTCATCATCATCATAATCATTATCCCTATCGATCATGATCATCATCATCATTATCCCTATCGATCATTATCATAATCATTATCCCTATCAATCATATCATCATTACCCCTATCGATCACCATCATAATTATTATCCCTATTGATCATCATCATCATAATCATTATCCCTATCGACAATCATCATCAATATCATTATCCCTATCGATCATCATCATCATTATTCCTATCGATCATCATCATCATCATCATCGTTATTATTATTATTATTATTATTATTATTTTATTATTATTATTATTATTATTATTATTATGTTGTTGTTGTTGTTGTTGATATTATTAAAAATAGGAAACTAACGTGAATGTGTTTACGTCTAGATAATTGGTATTATTAAAAGTTATTTCTAAAGTATGTATTATTATTGATTCATGAAAGGTAGTTGATATTATTTAAAGAGGTATAATGTTTAAGTCATGATAAAGTTATTTTTTCATCATCTTAATCCTCATCCTCCTCATCATCATCATTATCCCTATTGATCATCATCATCATCATCATCCTCATCATCATCATCCTCATCCTCATCATCATTATTATTTTATTGTTATTAGTATTATTTAAGTATTCATACCTTGTCACTTTTTGTTACTAGTATTATTTAATTTTGTTATTACTATACTATTGATAAAATTACTAATATTATTAAATTTTGATATTATTGAATATATTATCAAAAATATTATATTATTAAAATATCAGCACAATCTTACACTAGCACAAAAAAAATCTAGATTATTATTAAAATGTTTATCTAGTAATTTTAGTTACTATATTTATATTCAAAGTCTCAAAGATTACATTGTAGTGACTGTAAAACTTACTAATAATAATTATTTGTCACGTTTTTGTGTATAATTTTTAATAAGTAATATTTAGGGCTATTTTTCAAATATAAATTACTAAACAAATATATAGAATAAACAAAATTCACAATAAGAAATTGCATGTGGTTTGCTAATACATCGAATAGAATTCCTTGAAAGACCCATAACTCATCTGACATTCTGACATTACTAATACATCAGAGCTTCCGGCTACAAAGCAGTACAACAACATTGGTACATGGACAAAGGCTTGGAATATGTAATAACTTATGTATTCTCGAGCTAAAGCTACTACAAGCTACCCACTCCCCACCATTCCCCAACCACTGAACTCATCAAGTTTCTCATACAAGTCAGAACATCAGTGGTATAATTGGAAGTAGAACCATCAAATTTAAAAATGTCAAGGATCTCAGTAATGCTACATCTGTCTTCATAATCTTCTAGATATGGAAGCAACATATCCTGTGGACTGAATGAAATGACAAAATAAATAGTCAAGATGGAGAAGAGCGAGCTGGAAAGGGAAGTAAAGAGGAAGAAAGTACTATATGGTCTATGCTAATGATACATGGGGTTTTGGTTCTTTTTTATCACATAATGTTTTTTAAGTTTACCACTTTTAACCTTAAAATTAGATAAATAAATGGCCTACAAGACTACAATAGCCAAGATAAAAGCACTGAAGAAAACAAAAAACTAATATAGAACTGAAACTTGTACTGCCCTTATAAAAAAACAAAATTCTAATAAATATGCAACAATCACCAAACCAATATCCTGGTAAAAGTAAATACACACAGTGTGATAGTCTATATGCATAGAACAAGAATCAGATTTAAGAGGGAATTTTTTTCCGTTGAGAGACTCTCTCTCAAGCTTTACGCTTCTCGGAAAAAACCTCTAGCTTTCTTGCGCAAATCTCCTTCTTCTCCGCCTTTTCTTCCTTTTTGAGCTCGTTTGGTAGCTGTTTAACACTTCCTCTCGTCTGGGGGGGTTTTCCTCTACCTTTTGAGCTCTTTTGGGAGTTTTTCCGGACTGGTTCTCTTAGCTTGCTTTCGGTGTTACTATTCACGAGAATAGGTCAACGGAGTTTTCTCCTACTTCCGGTGGGTATTTTTCCGAACGGACTTCAGTTCTAGCTTCCCCTTACTCCGGTGATTAACTTTCTCCAAAAAGTTTCATCATCGGACTGGTTTCTATTTTCGTCCGTACTCGTCTTCCTCATTCTATTTCGGGGTGAATAGTGCGGTTTTCACCATTGTTGTTCTCCGAAGGTTCATGACTTAAGGGGAGGTCCTTCTTGGCTCTCCCTAGTTTTTTCCGATGCCTAAAGGGAAGGCAAAAGCGAAGAAGAAGACTCCAAAAGCTGCAACCAAATCGGCCAAATGCCTCAAAGTTCCTAAGGAGGTGGAGGAGGTGGTCTCGGAATCTACCTCATGTCAAGGTACCCCTATGTCCTCGGCTGACCCCCTTCTTGGGGAGGTAAATTCTATTCCTCTTATTCTTGATGCTCCTATTATTGAGGATGAGTGTGAGGAACCTTTGGTTGAGGATTTGTGTGACAAATCCATTGTTAATGCTAATGTTTGTGATGTTATCATCTCGGATGAGTATGCTATTGATGAAACTGTTTTAGCTTACATTGATGACACTTTGCCTTCGGATAAGGCTGAAAGTGTGAAAGATGACCCTTTGATTACCAATGCTACTTCCCCTGAACCCATTCATGCCGCGGCTTTGGCTGCTTTGTCTAATGCCACGGCTTTGGATGTCAATGCCGCGGCCTCGGTTGTTACTCAAAACAAGGGGGACATACCCTCTTCCTCTAATGCCGCGGCTTTGGTTGCTCTTAAGGGCAAAGGAGTGGTCATTGAGGAGACCACTTCTAAAGCCCTCCCTTGGGCTTCCCTTTTTAAGGACAATAGGAAACCCGAGAAGGGTATGAAGCTCAAATTCATTGAACCGGTGGGAGAGTTTGTTGATCTCTCTAATAGAAAGATGGCCTCTATGATTGAAATTTGGGGCTTTTGCCTTGTTGCCTACTTTGATGGTAGGTTTCCCGGTTTTAAGGCTATACATGAGATGATCAATAAATGGAATGTACCTTGCCAAGCTAGATCCCATGACAAGGGTTGGGTCATTTTTAAATTTCACAATGAAGAGGATAGAACTAAAGTCCTCTCGGGTGGACCTCACACCATCCTTGGGAAATCTTTCCCTTTGAAACCTCTCTCGGAGGACTTCTCCATGGATAGTGATGAGTTCCTTAAACTCCCCATTTGGGTACAATTCCCACATCTTCCTATGAGACTTTGGGAGGAGGACATTATAAGTGAGATTGCTTCTCGTGTGGGTGTGCCCTTGGCCACGGATAGAGTTACACAAGAGAAAGTGAGATCTCACTTTGCCCGGGTCCTAATTGAGATTGATGCTTCCAAACCGCCTCCTTTGGAACTTAAGATAAAGTTGCCCAATGGAAAATTTCACAAACAATTTGTGAGATATGAAACTTACCCCAACTTTTGCTTTCATTGTAAAAGTTTTGGGCACCATGCCTTTACGTGCAAAGTGTTGGCTGAAATTGAAAAGAAAAACAAAGATTGTATTGAGGCTGCCTTGCCTCCTAAGGAGGATCCTATAGGGGATAACACCCTTCTTAATAAGGAGGATCCTAAAGGGGCAAACACTACTACTAACATGGATGGAAAGGCATACATTCCCTCGGAATTGCACGATAAGGTGCCTAAGTTCAAAAAGAATGATCATCCTTTCTTTAGGGTGACTAGAGTGCGTAGAGGCCCACATAAATATATTGAGGAAGAGGAGGAGGAAGGGGGGGGCCCTCCCCCCCGGGAGGTGGAACCTTTGGTGGACAAATCTGTCCGTACGGTTAAGACCTCTCTTGTTGACACTTTTATTGATGAGGTAGTGGTGGACATGGATATCATTGATCCCCTCCATCCTATTATCAAACTCAAACACCAAAAAGAGGTTGATGAACCTACTCTCAAACTTAACCATAATCTTAGAATTGTGGAGGCCAATGCCCCCGGGATACAATTTACTAAGAATTGTTTGGAAGATCTTCCCGGAATAAAAGTTTGTGACAAAGGTTACACCTACTCCTCTAAGTTTCTCAAAGGGGTGTTTAAACATTATCTAAACCATCATTTTGAGGATGGTAACTTACAAGGGAATGCTCTTAAGGTCAAAGACCTCAGAAAGTTCACCAAAGATTCCCCACGGATTGTGCATGACATTCGTGATGCTTATCTTGATGATGTTGTTGTTAAAATTGATCTTTTTCCTAATGATAAACCGTGGATACACCTCAAGCATATTGAGGATGTCAAGGATGATTTTGTTAGACTCGATGACTATTTGGGTACCACCACTAACCATTTGATGAAAGGTATCAATTTCACCAAAGATTGTTTGAAATCTCTTCCCGGAATCCTTCCCACGGATGAGGGATATGAAGTATCCCATATCTTTATGGAGCAAGTCTACTTCCTATTTCTGGATAGATATACTCCGAGGGCTCCTCTTAAGCCTAAACCGAAAGATTTTGGTGTTAGAAACGATGGGGGAAGAAGGAACACTAAACGTTTTTAATGTTTGTGTCCTCTTGGAATATTAGAGGTCTTAACAAGACCTCAAAACAAAACTCCATTGGTGCTTTTATCCGTGATAAGAAGATCCATGTTTGTTGCCTTCTTGAGACTAAAATGTCTACTCAAAACTTTGACAAGTTCATGGTTACTAGATGGCCTAGTTGGCTATCTAGTACAAACTTTGATAAAATTGAGGGGGGCAGGATTGCCCTCATTTGGAACCCCAACTTTGTGAACATTAACATCTTGGAGGTGGATTCGCAACACATCCATTGTGAGATTAGGTGTAAGATCACACAAAACACCTTTTTTGTGACCTTCGTCTATGCTCTCTACACGGTTGTGGAAAGAAGAAACCTTTGGGAGCACATTGCTAATTTAGAGCCTAATATCAATCACCCTTGGATTGTTATGGGGGACTTTAACTGTGTAGGCAGTCCTAATGAAAGGATTGGGCCTACCCCCCCTTCGGCCTATTACATACAACATCTTAATGATTTCAAGGTTCAAGCTAACCTTACTGACTCTCCTTCCACAGGTGAGTTCCTTACATGGAATAGGGGCTCCCTGTGGGCCAAACTTGATAGAGTTCTCATGAATTCTTGCTGGTCCACCTTTAACATTACCTGTAATGCTCACTACTTTGAGATGGAAGTGGATTTTGACCACTGTGCTGTGCTTGTTACTATTGGCAATAATTCTCCTGTTGGTTCTAGGCCTTTCAAATTCTTTAACATGTGGCTTAAGCATGAGGCTTTTGCCAACATCCTAACCAACCATTGGTTTCAAGAGATGTATGGCACACCACAGTTTAGATTGGCCCGTAAACTGAAGAGGCTTAAAAAACCTCTTAAGGAGCTTAATTTCAATGCTTTTGGTCATATTTCTGAGAAGGCCAAGGAGGCTAATAAGGAGTATAAGAGGCTCCATGCTTTTTTACTCCTTTCTCCGCTGGATGAGAATATTAAACTTGAGGTTGCCTCGGCCAAAAAGTATGCTTTGAACCTCAAGAGGGCTGAGGAGGATTTTTTCAGACAAAAGGCCAAAGCTAATCACTTGATCTTAAGTGACCGGGGAACTAAGTACTTTCATTCTATTGTCAAAAAGAATGTGGCTAGAAACTCCATCACTTCTATTAAACTAGAGAATGGAGATTCCACCACATCTCTTAATCTTGTGGCTTCTGAGCTGGTTGGCTTCTATACCAACCTCTTTGGTACTTCTTGTCCTAATGTGGACATTAACCCGGACATCATTCTTTCTGGTACTTGCCTTGATGACTCTAAACTTTCTGGGCTTCTTGCCCCCATTTCTAATGATGAAATTAAGAATGCCATGTTTGACATTGGGGATAATAAGTCCCCTGGGCCTGATGGCTTTACTTCTGCTTTCTTTAAGCATAATTGGAATATAGTTGGGCATGATGTTATTCTTGCTGTGAAGGGTTTCTTTAACTCGGGGAAGCTCTTAAAGCAGCTTAACCATACTGTTATTGCTCTTATTCCTAAGACTTCCCATGAGCCTAGGGCGGCTGATTTTAGACCCATTGCTTGCACCAATGTCATCTATAAAACTATCACTAAGATCATTGCTGGCCGTATGATCCCTTGTCTTCCTGAGCTTATTGATCCGGCCCAAGGGGCCTTTGTGGATGGTAGGCTTATGCTTGACAATGTTTTCTTAGCCCAAGAGCTTATTAAAGGCTACTCTAGGAAGCATATGTCTCCTAGATCTATGATCAAGGTTGATTTAAGAAAGGCTTATGACACCATTTCTTGGAATTTTTTGGAGAAGGTGCTTTTAACGATTGGCTTCCCCTACAGATTTGTTAGGTGGATTATGGAATGTGTTTCTACACCTTCCTTTTCCATCTCCATTAATGGGGTTCTTCATGGTAACTTCAAAGGGAAGAGAGGCCTTCGGCAGGGTGACCCCATGTCTCCTCTTCTCTTTGTTATTTGCCTTGAGTACTTTTCTAGGCTCCTCCACAACAGAACTAAGGTTTCGGCCTTCAAGTTCCATCCTAAGTGTGCTAAACTGAATATCTCTCATGTGGCATATGCTGATGATCTCATGCTCTTTTCTAGAGGGGACTTCCCCTCTATTAAAGTTCTTATTGATGCTTTGGATGAGTTTGGGAATGTTTCTGGACTTAAAGTCAATTTTGACAAGTCTAACATTTTCCTTGGTGGCCTGGCTGACTTTGAGCTGAACTATATACTTAGCATGATTGACTTTAAGGAGGGATCATTTCCTGTGAGGTACTTGGGCATCCCCCTTGCCCCCCTTAAAATTGCTGTTGCTCAATATGCTCCGCTTTTGGATTCCATTACCAATTATATTACGGCATGGAACACAAAAACTCTTTCCTATGCTGGAAGAGTTGAACTTATCAAATCTGTTATCCAAGGTGTCCATTCCTTTTGGCTGCAAGCACTCCCTATTCCTAAGGCTGTGCTTGATAGAATTACCTCTATCTGTCGCATCTTCCTTTGGGGGTGCAAGTTTGCCCGTGTTGCTTGGGCTGACATTTGCCTACCTTTGGAGGAGGGAGGGCTTGGTATTCATGATACTAACATTTGGAATTCAGCCCTCCTTGCTAAAACCCTTTGGGATATCCACATTAAGAAGGATAACCTTTGGGTTAGATGGATCCATGGTGTCTACCTCAATGGTAGAGGTGTCTGGGAGTTTACACCTCACACAAGAGACTCCCAACTGATTAAAAAGATTGCCCTTGTTAGGAATCAGATTGTGTCTCATTTTGAGAATACACATGATGCCATTGCCTTTCTTGAGAATATTCAAACCAATGGCAAACTTTCTTCGATTAAGGTTTATAATCTTCTTCGGATTAAGGGGGAAACCCATGCTTGGATGTCCTTTATTTGGAAGGGGTATATTCCCCCTAAATTCTCTTTCACGGTTTGGCTTGCCTTCCGTAACCGGCTGGCCACGTTTGATAATCTTCATAGGCTTGATGTTGTCAATATTTGCCATTTTTGCAAGGGTGGTCCCGAATCGGTACCACACCTATTTTTTGCTTGTCCTTTTGCAGGTAATGTTTGGAAGAAAGTTAGAACCTGGCTGCAGCTACCTAGGGAGATGAGGACGCTGCACAGTTCAATGAAGTGGATCAAGAAGGATAGGCAAGGCTCCGGATTAAAGGCCAAGGCAGCTAGGATCGCTTTTTGCTACTCCGTTTATTGGATTTGGAGGACTCGGAATGCTGTTTGCTTCGATGGGTTGACTCCTAAAGTTGATGATGTTTTTGCTAGAATTCAGTATATCACTTACAAGATCTTGTATAGCCTTTACCCTTTTGAGCTCGTCAATTTGTAAGCTTTTGCTCCTCTTGTGATCCCTTTTGGGTGAGGGGCTTTTGGGTGTTGTTTTTGGGCTGCTTGTTTGGCTCGGTTTTGCTCTCTTGCTCCTTGTGGAGTGGGCGGTTTGTCTTTTTGGGCAGGTTGTGCTTTTTCTAGGGCTGTCCGAATGTGGACAACTTGCTTTTTTGTTTCCTTTTTGTTTGTACATTCTCAAACCCCCTTCTCTTTGGGTGTTTCTTTCTAATATACTTACAGTTCACCCAAAAAAAAAAAAGAATCAGATTTAAGATTCAAATCAATCACCAATGCTCCTTCCAACAAAAACTAAAAGAAAATAGCACTTTTAAGTTTCAAGTTCTAACAAATCATCAATATTCCTCATTGCAGCTGCAAAGAAAAAAGAATGAACAATAACAAATTGGCTCGTGTTCAGCAGCTATGATCATATTAGGCATGTTACATTGCTAGAGAATAGGTGCCAACCGCCAACTTAACAAAATAAATGGATGAAGGACAAAAACAAAACAAAAATTGTTGGTGTCTAATACCAATATACGTAGTATATTTTGAGGGATTAAATTCATATTCAAGTCTACAGCAAATCACATTTTGTTTCTTCCAGAATAAAGACAGTTTCTGGCAACACAAAATGAAACAAGATGCTATACTTTTCTCAGGTTGACTGACCTTTTGATTGTCATACCAAGGATGCCAGTTGGTGACAGTTGAAAGATTCAAAGCATCAATTGAATACCGGGTTGCAGTTAAAGAACCACTGAATCAGTAGCCCCGCTGCAATAATAAACATTCATATGATAAAAGTAACACTTCGTATATTGTTTTATTGTACCATATTCGGGGATTAATCAAATTTAAAAATGAATGAAACCCAACAGGCTTTCTTGCTATATCCAGAAAATGAATATTTTGATCAATGGTTGAGAACTTGAGATACATAAACACTTGTATTAGTAAATAAGGACCTAGGCTGCGTTTGGCATGACAAAAGCTAGTTTAAATACTACTCCATTACTATCAGCTTTTTTAGTGGAAGCTTTTTGAACAAATGTCTTTTAGTTTGAGGCTTATTTGATATGCAGCATATGCTCAAGCTTGTTCCATAAGAATTATTGAGATGCACAACCCCTAGGCCCTAGTGGTATACTTACACCAGTAATCTCCACTAAAAACGATCGTGTATAATCAATGTTTGTAAATTGTGGCCCCTCTAATCTAGCTCCCTGCTCTAAATTTCAGTCATCATCTGTCAATTTGAAATCTGCCACTCATCTGCTGACAACCTGGCAGATGATGTGAATGTAATATTCATGATTGTTTATCAAACTCCTTTAGTTTGATATTTTGACAGTCATAATATGCAGGTAGTTTTAACACCTTTACACCTGAGTTAACTTATAACATATACCACAAACATACTCCATATATATACCACAAATATACTTACACATGTAGAATGGATTCAAACTCCTTTTCCATTCTGTATTCCATCTTTTGCATTTCTTTCAACCTCCTTTAGAGTACTCACAAACTGCAAATACAAAAAATGCATTATATATACAAATACTTTCAAAATCAATACTATGTATGTAATCGTTCAATAAACAATAACAAAATAAGCACCGAATTATGATATCCATGGTATGGATATCCCTGATGCAATCCTCCATATGTGTGTGCATGAAACATTGCAGCAGGCTGAGCCGGATATTGAGGATAAAATTGCCAATTGGATGTCATATAACCATTGTAATGAGTATGATGCATTGGTATGTTGTTATAACCGGGCATTTGTATATGTCCTCCTTGGTGATGACGATCTTGTGCAAGCATTATGCCATTTGCAAATTCATCCTATAAAATTAGTGAAGATATGACAAAATGCAGTTTTACTCTGTTAAAAAAAGTGAAGCCACGATATAGGGGAGACTTACATTAGCATTAGTCACTGGTAAATTGATATGACTATTATTCCCTCTATCAGCATCCTGTGCCATATTCATTTATACATAATTAATACAATTTCAAAACATTGTAACTAAAAATAATTTCAAACTCCAATTAAGAACTCACATTATTGGTGTTTGCACATTTAGCAGGATCTTCTGTGTTTTTCCTCTTCTTTTTATTTTTCTTTCCTTTACTTCCAAGCATACGAGCATTGCCCTTAATAACAAAGAAATGATTAAAAGAACAATATTTAATCCAATTGCTTACTTATAATCTAATGGTTATAGAAGCAAAGTGATCTTACATTATTAGTGGTGCGGGTATCATCAGATTGCTCAGATGACTCGTCGTTGCCCTCCACCTCCTCCTCCTCAAGCACATGTAATTGATCACGATTGCTCAATGTAGGACACTTGCGTTTCGTATGACCATGTCGCTTACAATGTCCACATATTCTCCTCTTTCTAGTATTTCTGTCCTTACGAGGAGCACCTTTAGTCTTCACAATTGTTGGATCACGAACCTTAGAGTCATTATTCTGATTAAGTGCATCACCACAGCGCTTTTCAAATTTATCTATCAAATTCTCGATATCTGCAATGAACTCAGAATAAAGCGATGATTTTTTACAGGCCGCTCTATACAGCCTGTTACATGCAGCAGAGATAGCCCATGACTCATAGGCGTGTAGAGGAGTGGTCAACAAAGGGTCGGTATACAAGGATTTAAAATCTGAAATTAATTCGTTGTGTCTATACTCCTTTACGGCTCTTTCAAAATTATGCATAAAATCCACAAGGCTGTTTTTGTTATGAACATACCGCTTAATGAATGAATTAATTCCTTCACAGATGGAGGTTGTTCGAATACCGGCAAAAAACTTGTCACGCATATATGCACTTGCCCACATCATCTTCATGTCATAAACTTTCTTAACCCAGTTGTTGTTGGCGACTCCATGTTCATCAACCGTCTTCTTCCACCTGCTTTCAAAATCATCAGGGCTAAAGTTACCATAAATTAGAGGATTAAGATCTTCTAGAAAACGTGAGTTCTTAACGTTATCAAATGCATTTTTGTGAAGACGCCAAGAACAAAGTCTATGAAAGGAGCTTCGGAGCACTGCCCGAATCGCTTCACGCATCGCACCATCTCCATCGGTGACAACCGCCTTAGGATGCTTACCAAACATGCATTCACAAAAAGTTTCCAGAACCCACTTGTATGTTTCTGTCTTCTCATCGGATACTAAGGCACATGCAAAGATAACTGTTTCGCCGTGATGATTGTACCCAGAAAAAATAACCAAAGGCTTGTTATACTTGTTCTTTTTGTGCGTAGTGTCAAAAGCAACAACATCTCCAAAGCAATGGTAATCAAGCCTGCTTACACCATCCGACCAAAACAAGTTGTCGAGCCTCCCCTCTTCTGTGGTTGTGAACTTGGAAAACATGAAACTATCATTGTCTGCTTTGGCTTGGAGATAAGATAATGCAGCAAATGCATCGCCATCATTTATCTTAGCTCTCTTTTGCTGATCAATGTAATTGTACAAATCCTTCTTGCAGAACCCAACATCGGCGTGCCCACCCTTTTGACCAATAATCAGCCCCATGATATGACAAGTTCTAACTCCATGCAACCGTAAACTATCTACCTGTGCTTTAATGCCGTCGCTAATGCTTCTGTAAGCTGGCATTAAATGAACATGCTGTGATGGAGTCATTTCATGATTGTGAGTATCATCGAAATCAATAATCAGCCACTTTCTTGTATGATTATCGAACTCTGCGCGAAGTCGTGCCATACAGTTGGTACGCGTGATAGGCTTTGGCTCCCTAACACGATCATTCCTTTCTACGTGCTTCTTACTTCTCAATCCCTCACGATTGCAAACCAAATTTCTCATTATAATATTATTATTTGACTCACGACGCACATCATCTCTTCTAACAGAAAAGCCATTAATTTGGGCATAACAAGAATAAAAGTCATAAACTTCATCCTCTGAATCAAATTCGAGCCTCTTAATATCAGCAGGTGTCAAATCAGATATTTTTATATAACCCTCTGCTATCAGCCCTTCACCATCATTCAGACTTTTACCTACCTCTTCATTAAAATTGACTTGGACTTCTTCACAATGCTTTGACATTTTTGGAATGGCTAGAAAAAGGTCCTAAAGAAGAATAATCTGATTAGTTATAAAAATAAAAACGAAATCTATAATAAGAAAGCAGATTCTAACTCAAATTCTTTGAATAAGACCGTTGATTTCAGAAATATAAGATTTTACAAGGGAAGCAATGACCGTGTAAGGATAAAAAATAAGGGAGTGCAGGTAGCTTAAAAGAAAATTGAAGCATATGAATCCCTTCTTTGGGAGCTGAGGAGCTCAATGATGAGAGGCACAAGGCTCGTTCTACAATGAAAGAAATGTTTAATAGGTCATTTGGAGCTACATTTCTGTAACTAGTGGGGTTAAAGGTGGAAATACAGAAGGTAGTGGTGGAGTCCTAGCTCAGAAATAGGTGGCAGGGGAGAAAGAGAAAAGGCGTAGCATTCGGATAAAACTAACGAAGAACATGCTAAAGGATTTTGAGTGGTCCCGTAAATGAAATATATTATCCTAAGGGTTGTAAATGGGGAGGGCATGGGGTGATTCTGTTCTGATTCTCTTCTCAATTGTTCAGACCTCCATCTCTAATTCTGTCCTCATCTGCAAATTTACCTTTCCCTACTTTCAAACTAATACGTAAATAAAATACTTGCTTCCCAGATTATTATATTGTTGCTGCGAATTGTCTTTGGGTTTTAATAGGTCACACCTGTTACAATATCTAACTGATTCCGGTCAAGAGTCGGCCTTTGCTTATCATATCCACCAATATGCTCATGTGTACACCAGCAAACTAGATAACTTTCTGTACTATCTACCTGAGGTCTGGCTTCACATGCCTTAATGCCTTATGATATAAAAATAATGCCTCACCATGTCAAGGTATTGTATTGCATTGCTGTTTGAGTTGCTAAGAGTTTGAACCTATATTGAATGCTTCCATATTTGATCTTAAAAAGGCTGGGTTTTTAGTTCACACTTGTATACTAAAGTGAAATGGGGGTACCTCTCCCCCATACTTCAAGTTTGAACCGAAAGATCTGGTAAAATACACTTCTGGATTTAATGCGTTTTTTCTTCTATTGGTATTGTTCTATACTACTGGAATTGTCAATATCAAAACTTTCTTCTATGTAAAACCCATACCTGTCAGCTCCCTTAACTCCCTTAACTGGAAAGAAAATTGTCAATATCAAAACTTTCTTCTATGTAAAACCCAGACCTGTCAGCTCCCTTAACTCCCTTAACTGGAAAGAAAATAAATGAAGATGGCCAAGTAGATGACGAAGACTGGTTATTACTTATTAACAAGCCTTGCATTAGTGGATCAATATAACATATAGATAATAAAAGTAGCAATATTTTGAGCAGTTTGCAACCACAGCTAGTCCATCCAAAAATTCAGCTAAAATGGAAATAGAAAAACCTGGAAGAATGTAAGAAAATTGATGCATCTCGAATCCCAGCACAATACGTTTTAGGCATCGACAACAAAAAATCAAACTTTGTATAAAATATATCTCAACTACTTTCATTCATTCACTATTATATGCTCACTCAAAAAAATTTTTATGACAAATTTAGATAACCTACGACACATACTGCTGTGTTAGTATAGCTTCTAGCCTACTTACATGTCTATACACGCTACGAAATTAATTAAATAATAATATTGCAATAAATATCATTGAGTAATTGTTCTATACTACTGGAATTGTCAATATAAAAACATGCTTCTATGTATACTCACACCAATCCTATCAAGCAAAAACAAAAGAAAAAGAAAATCCTGCTGCGAAAACAGAAAATAAGCAAAACCAGAATCATAAAAAATGCTCATTTGAAAGAGAAATCAAAAGCTTATTTGGCCAAATAAGGTCTTAGAACACGAGCTAGTAAGAAAATTCTAATAAATGTTAATCAAGGAAATCCCTGAATTAGATGTGATGAAAAACAAGTACATACCGAATTTGTTAGAATATGCTCAAGAGATACCTTCAAATGCACGAAAATTTCAATTGATTGGGCGGCTAAATTCCTCTTCCGCAATTATGCTCTGGCAGCTAGGTTTCCTTAATTCCCTCCCTGGACTGAATCCGCTGTTGCCGCTAAACTCAATTGAAACGGCGAAGTTACTCGAGCTCTTCCGCGATTAGGTCTCGTCCGTTGCGATGGAGAGAAGAAGCCACTGTCTAGTTGCGATGGATAGTAGGCAACCTGGAAGGCACCGGACTTCTGGTTTTGGTAGAGAGGTAGCTGTCGTCTGGTGTTGCGGTGGATAGTAGGAAGATCGGAAGAAGGAAGGGATTTCTGGAAACGGCGAAAGAAAGCTCCGTTAACCCTTGAAGTCCCGTCTATCACCGAAGGACTCAAGTGCAGTTTTTTTTCTTGACTGGGATGCTCGATCAATATATTACCTATCCACATGTCAACTTTGTATTTGGCCACATAAGCAGGGTACTGTACCTTGAAAAATAATATGGGCACCGTAGAAAGTACCTATAATAAAATGATATTAATTCATTAGTTCATTGAGTCTCATGCCAACATAATAAATTAGTACTCCCTCCGGTCCTTAATTAACTTTACACTTTTCTTTTTGGGTCGTCCCATGTTAAACTTTACACTTCCTTATTTGCCTTATTTGGCAAACAAATCTACACCAAACAGTGCAAAACAGTGCTAAACAGTGCTAAACAGTATCAAACAGTGCCAAACAGTATACTCTACAGTAAAGTCAAATTTATTTCCTTAATATATGTGAAGTCAAAGTGTAAAGTTTAATAAGGACCGGAGGGAGTATAAGACATTGAACAACACGTGAGTGAGGGTCACTGCGTGGCCTGAAATAATAATGTCATATTCAGCCATAATTCTTAATTGGGACGAAACGGTATAGGGGCCAGTGGCGGAGCCAGAGGTTTGTCCAAGGAGGGGCAAACCAAAGACTAAAAATTTTAAAGTTCGTGTCCAAAATATAATAAGAACAACAATAGCGTAATAATTTAACAAAAAATTATAGTTCATTACATACTACTTGATTTACTTCTGCAACCTAGGCAAATCAATCCTACGAGTTTTCATATTTTGAAAATGCTGCATAATAGCTTCATTATCAATTGCTTGAAAAATGTCTCTTTCGATGTAGCATACTAAGCAATCCGTAAGATAGTCATCTCCCATCTTATTGCGAAGATCTGTCTTGATAATATTCATCGATGAGAAAGCTCTTTCAACTGTGGCTGTTGCAACTGGTAACACTAGAGCCAACTCAATAAGACGATAGACCAAGTGAAAAGATTTGTGAATTGTAAGCTCAACCATCTTCTTAGACACTTCACCAATACTTTGTAAAGTGGAAACTGCTTCATTTCCTCTCATCTCATATATCCAAACTTGGAGTTGTTCTTTAAGCTCCATTTGCTCAACAGCTGAAAAATCAGATGAATATAACTCCGCAAGATTGAGTAGCTTTGACTCACAGAAATTGGAAAAATTATCTTTAGGATCAAGGCAAGCTAAACAAGCGAGTAAATCTGTATTTGACTCACTAAAGCGATTCTCCATTTCCAGATTGACCTGGTCTATAACCTACAATAAGGTAATAATAAAAAGTAGTAGTAATAGTAATAATAATAATGATAATAATAATAATAACAACTAATAAATAATTTAAATTTTAATAAAAAATACCTGATAAAAAATATCAGCTCGAAAGTGATGATAATTTGTTACCGGATGGCGAACGCGTCTAGAACGATGAGTTGTATCTTCCATGTTTAGAATGACAATTTTATTCTTCACACAAAATTTACTGACATCTTCTAATAGCTCTTCCCATCCACTTTCTCTCAAATCTTGGAATTTCTCTTTAGTGCTTTTAATCAAGCTCACAGCCTCAAGAATGTTCTGATCTTTTTGTTGCAAGAAATGTAACAACATATTCGTCAATCCCAATACCTTCTTCATCAAGTGGGCTATAAAAACAAATTGATAGCTCTCCATTTTTTCAACCAAACTACTAGCTTTGCCCCTTGATTTCGAATCAATTCCATCATCAAATATATTGTCAAGCACTTGGATTGTTGGAGACCACAAAGATAGAATACGAATAATGGTTGTAAAATGTGAACCCCATCGAGTAGCTCCCGGTCGTGCTAAAGTACTTTCTTGATTCAATCCTCTCCCGGTCGTAATTTCACCTTTTTCTAACATGGCTACCATGTTTTCGTGTTGTTTTTGGCGAAATTCATCTTTTCTTTTACAAGAGGATCCAACCATGTTAGTAATCATGGACAAATATTCAAAGAAATCACTCACAAAATTATTTTTTTGAGAAACAGCCACGACAACTAATTGCAATTGGTGAGCAAAACAATGAATATATCTCGCATGTGGATTTTCATTCAAGATAAGAGTCTTCAATCCATTCAACTCACCTCGCATATTAGAAGCTCCATCATACCCTTGTCCTCGAACTCTAGACATTGATAATTCATGTTTTGAAAAAAAATCATCAATGCCACTTTTTAAAGAAAGAGATGTGGTCTCAACAACATGCTTAACCCCAAGGAACCGCTCAATCACAACTCCATGATCGTTTACATATCTCACAAAAACTGCCATTTGTTCTTTCACAGAACTATCACGAGCCTCATCAATCAATAAAGAAAAAAACTTGTCACCAAGATCATTTATTATGGCTTTTGTTGTTTGTGATGCGCAGGCATTAATAATATCTTTTTGAATCATAGGACTAGTAAGTTGGTGATTCGAAGGTGCATTGTCTTTCACCACTTTTGCCACATCGGCATTGCGTGCACTATACCATTCTAGCAATTCCAAGAAATTTCCTCTATTTAATGAGCTCTCTCGCTCATTATGACCACGAAAAGCCAATCCTTGTGCAATTAAAAATCTAGCACAATCCACACTTGCGTTCATCACATCATCCCTAATCCCCGGCGCATATTCATTAATTGGTTTTCGTAAAAATTAGACCTGCACAATTCCGGGCCGGCCCGCCCATATAAATGGGCGGGTTTGGACACATGTTTTAGCCCACCGGGCCGGGCCCGGCCCGGCCCGTTTAAAATATGGGCGGGCTTGGGTTGTAATATAGGCCCGGTCGGGCCTAAAAGCCCGGCTCGTAAACATATTTTATATATTATATATATTATTCTATATATAATTATACATTATATGACTATACGTATAAAACTTAAAATGCTTGGAAGTATAATTTCATTACCATGTCATTATTCACAAGTGTCATTATTTTCCATTATTTTTAACTTGTAAGGTTCCGCAAGTATGTTCAAGATCGGTGATGGACGTTCGAATGATAACGAGGATGAAGAAGATGAAATGCTACTCTAGTGTAAGACAATGCTTCTCTTTCACAGACGGTAAGATTCAGAAATCACAATATAGTAGTTTTCATTATCTCAATGTTTTTACTTGGTTTATAAATAATATTTGGTTTTCATTATTTGATATTTATTGGCACTTGGCAGAGCAGTCTGGGAGATCAATTACTTTCTGGTGAAATGAAGGAGTGTCGAGAAGTTCTGAGAATCTTGGGATACCAATTACTTTTTGTGTTTTACTATTTAAATTTGAACTCTAATGATATACATCTGTTAAGTCTTTTTGGAGATACTCTTGACTATTTCCGCTGCACATTGTGAATCTGTGATTGTGCTTTTAATTATGGAATATGGATGCTTATTTGGAATTTAGATGCTTTTTATTTTCCAGAATCGTTTTGTGTTTTGCATTTAAACGTATTCTTGTGTTCAAAATGTGTTGTGAGTACATTAATTATTTAATTGCATTTAAAATGTTGTGATGTTATTTTATAAATATTTTCATTTTTTTAACAAGGTTGACAAAAGGATATTTTCCGGGCCCAAAAGCCCGGTGGGCAGCCCGGCCCGCTCTCATGGGCGGGCTTGGACATATGAGGAGGCCCGTTTAACCGGGCCGGGCCCGCCCACTACAAGTGGGCAGATTTTTTAGAATAAGCCCGGCCCGAGCCCGGCCCGAGCCCGTGTTTGTGCAGGTCTAGTAAAAATGGATCACTAATAATATCCCATTCATGTGTACTTTCTGTTCGGGCTCTCTTGTCCCTCTCATTCCTCTCATCTCTAGCAATATTTTCATTTGACGCAGTGGCATTTTCAACACTAGAGATAGACTGATTAGGAACAATTGAAGAACTAACACCTCCAATCAAAGACCTCTTAGTCTTAATTACAAATTTATCCAAACTCATACTCCTAAATATAACAAAAATAAGTATGAATTAAAAATGTTCCTTATACAAATAGCATTAAATTGCATCTAGAACTGAGATTTGAGGATTCACACAAATAATTTCTGACTTTTCGTTAGGGATGAGAGCAAATAATTAATATGGGCATAAATTGGCAGATGAGAAACTTACTTGAAAATTGCAGAATCTGAGAACAAATGGGGAGAAGTGAGAACTAGGGCTGGATTCGGTTCGGGAACCGAACCGAAATAGGAAATATCCGAACCGAACCGATCTTTCGGTTTCGTATATTCTATAACCCGAAACCGAACCGATCTAAGTTGGGACCCAATTTTTCGGACACCGAATTTTCGGTCCGGTTATTCGGTTTTTTCACAAAAACCGAATGGGTATTCAATATTTGTTTATATTGTAGCTAATACTTGCACTCAAGCTTTACTAGCAACTTAATCTTTATCAACTATGAAGGAGCGATTATATAGGCTCAAATGAGGAGTGAATCCTCTATTTCATCCGATGTGGGACGAGTTGTAGGCTGAAGAAAATAAAATTGGAAGAATTGGGGCGGAAGAAAAGCAAAACAAGTTTAACTTAATCCGTCCTGGGGGGGATTCGAACACGGGTGATACGAAGGGAGCATGTTACCTGTCTCCACTGAGCTACTCCGGATTATTGGCAAATTGGGATGCCAAATGTATTACATACATTAATCCCCTTTTATTCTATATTTCATTTTTTTTTACTTTTTCTGAAAATACTTTTTTATTTATTTTAACACTTCATCTTAAAATAACCTTAAGTTGTACTTATTGTTTTTAAAATTAAAAAAGAAGCCGGGGCAAGAAACATATTATAAGTAATACTAGTAAAAAAAATTAGTCGGAGCGGGGGCGCTTGCCCCCCCCCCCCCCCCCCCCTAGCTCCTCCACTGATAGGGGCAACCATACATTTTACTAAATGGGGGCCAATATTTGGTCTTTTCATAATTTATCACAAAATAATGAATTTAATGGGAGTTTGTATATAATGAATATTTAATGGCAGCTGCCCCCCTCCTCTCTTACTGCATCCACCCGTTGATATATGTTGCCCCTTCATTGCATCTAAAATTCAAAGGTGAAGTTTATTAAACATGAGTATAATCAAAGAATTGTGAATTTCATTAATTTTGTAAATAAATACTAACCAAAATACCTATTATCAGGTAAAAATCCCTTCCGTACAACTGTTTAAATTGGACTACTACTGTCATTTAATTAGTTTTCCTTGAAAAAGTTCCAATCTGGAAGAATCTAAAACTTTCACCTTTAATTTGAAGGAGTTTACACAATACCGAACTTGGGCCACCCGGATATGAAGGACCACGTGGAGGCTGTCCCGGAGGATATGGAGGCTGCTGCGCGCCAGGCGGTGGAGCATAATACGGTGGATAACCACAGCCACCATGAACGCGGTTTCCGCGTCCTGGGCCACCTCTATTTCCGCGTCCACCATGCGCACCCCCACCGTGATCCGAACCTGCTGCACCCCCTTGACCCGAGCCTGCTGGGGCAGTAGGGTTATCGGGCACAAATGCCTCGTGCATCGATGTCGAGTCCTGAGTATAATTTATCAAGGATTTAAAGATGACTAAGTTTTTTTAGGACGGAGATCTTACTACTTCATTAAATGACATTTACTAGTCATCAATTTAAAATCATGAATAATGAGCTCACAATTTACATTAAAAAGTAATAAAAAGATATAACTAACGGTGGCTGAAACTTTGACTATATAATAAAATGATATTAATTCATTAGTTCATTGAGTCTCATGCCAACATAATAAATTAGTACTCCCTCCGGTCCTTAATTAACTTTACACTTTTCTTTTTGGGTCGCCTCATATTAAACTTTACACTTCCTTATTTGCCTTATTTGGCAAACAAATCTACACCAAACAGTGCAAAACAGTGCTAAACAATATCAAACAGTGTCAAACAGTGTACTCTACAGTAAAGTCAAATTTATTTCCTTAATATATGTGAAGTCAAAGTGTAAAGTTTAATAAGGACCGGAGGGAGTATTAGACATTGAACAACACGTGAGTGAGGGTCACTGCGTGGCCTGAAATAATAATGTCATATTCAGCCATAATTCTTAATTGGGACGAAACGGTATAGGGGCAACCATACATTTTACTAATTGGGGGTCAATATTTGGTCTTTTCATAATTTATCACAAAATAATGAATTTAATGGGAGTTTGTATATAAGAGCATCTCCAGTCCGAAGATGTTGACAGTAAAAATTATGGCTACGTCATTCACTTTAACATTGGTGTAAAAATCTCTTCTCCAACGCAGCAATGTAACCTTCTTGTAATGCTGACTTGTCAAAAAATATTTTTGAAACTGTTTACATCAATGTCTGGATTTAACACTGTCGTTCACATGTTGAGTCAGCTATTTTGGGCGCATAAAATTACCCGCCGACCTAAAAAAAATCCAGCGTAAAAAACTTCTACCTCCCACCTCCCAAATTATCTCTCCCAGTGCCCCACACTCCCACTCCCACCTCATTTCTTTTCTCCCCAAAGTGAAGCTTCGTAGATAAATTTGATTTGTGGAATGTTCAAGGCAGCATAGCTCTCTTCAAAGGATTTGATTTGTGGCAAGTACATAAATTTTTTCCATTTCCACAGATTTCCCACTTTAAACTTACCTCTTCTTCTATTAAATAGATTTCAAGCTACGTGCTCTCTCTGTCTGCACCTCTTTTGCCCAATTTCAGCGAAGCTGTTTACATATTATGAGTCTTTTATGCCAAAATTGACTAATTCATGGACATGTGAAGTAGCCAATCTGGAAATATCAACAGTTCTGAGATGTTCTTAAAAATATTTTTTCCATAGCAGTAACATACCTAATAAATCAGGGAATAGAGCATTAGAGCTTGAGTTGGGCCCTGTAATTTATCTTTTTCATTTGATTTAATTGTTGCTAGGTTTATAGATTCCTTCCGTTTCTGTAGATTTCCTTTTATTAGTTCAAAGGATTTAGTTCAAATACATGTTTGATGCGATTATTGTATTCCTTCCCTGTTCTTCCAGATCTGTTTATAAATTAGATTGAGCAATCTTCTGCTGTATAAATAATAAATGGATGTATTTTTTACGCTTCAGTAAGATGCTCAATGTGTATGCTTTGATTTTATTCTCTTTCTTTGTATTTTACAAACAAGCCGGTGCATCAGGAATGTTTTTGGGGTTCAAGAGCAATATAATTAAAAAAATGGGTTATTTTACACGTTGGTGAAATATGGACTGTTAGACATCGAGCATTGCACATGAATTCTGGGATCTCAATGTCTAGTTAATGACTCCAGCGTGATGTGGTTGACACTTGACAGATCCATATATTAATTGGCACGTGTCAATTTTTTTGGCATGTTAACCGTATACCATTGTAGATGCTCTAATGAATATTTAATGGCAGTTGCCCCCCTCCTCTCTTACTGCATCCGCCCGTTGATATATGTTGCCCCTTCATTGCATCTAAAATTCAAAAGTGAAGTTTATTAAACATGAGTATAATCAAAGAATTGTGAATTTCATTAATTTTGTAAATAAATACTAACCAAAATACCTATTAGCAGGTAAAAATCCCTTCAGTACAACTGTTTAAATTGGACTACTACTGTCATTTAATTAGTTTTCCTTGAAAAAATTCCAATCTGGAAGAATCTAAAACTTTCACCTTTAATTTGAAGGAGTTTAGAGGGTTAAGTGAAGGATATAAAACCACTCCTTCCATAATATAAAATCCGAAAAAGAATAAAAAGAAGTTCATAAACCCTCATCACCCCTCCCCTTCTATCCAACTCCCAAAGTAAACATACCTTAAGTCTTTGGCTTGGCTAAAGGTGAGGAAGGGATGAACACACATGTCTACGTTTGAAAACAAAATTGGGTCCATTTTCACTTTCACCTGATTTTGACCGATTTTTACATGATCTTAACCAAGTTTAATTTGACTAGTTATTTGGTGTTTTGGTCTTTTCAATTTTGTCGATGTACTTGAAAATAAAATTTAAGCAAATATTTATTATAACGTAATGTAGTAATTTAGCCTTAAATGAGATTTTCTTAAAACGCATAGTATTAAAGAATGTATTACACATAATTAATAAAGATGGGTTTAATTAATACATATTAATTAATATACATGTAGTTATATGAAATAACCAACATTAATGTATACATCCCATGTGAAATATTCATTCAGACAAACATTATCAAAACTGTTATTACATACTATCCCAGTATATAATGCTTCAAATACATGTGGGTATATATGACTAAAGAAACTCGATAACATAAAAAAAGCAACAGATAAGAGAAGGGAAATAAGAATAATAAACTATGGGTTATAACAAGAAAATGACTTTGATGTTTGTGTTGGCTATTCTCTTACCTTGGTTAACCTTCGCAAAAGATTCACCGTCAAACCCGGAGAACTCGGATGAAGCCGCAAACGATCTTGCTGCTAAAATACATTTTTGTATGGCTGATTGGCTATCTTTTTACATTTCTTATCCATATGAGGGACCTATTTCTTCTACTCAATTAGCGCACGTTGAAGATCATTGCCATGAATATGTAACTTGTCAAGTACTTAAGAAAGATTGTCCTCCTAAACTACAAGCTAATTACAATGTATAACCACCCCAATGTTTTATTTGATTCATGTTCCAATTTCGTTTTATCTAAATAGTTTGTTCATTAGTGTAATGAAGTCCTTCTTGTACCGTAAAGGACTAAGAAATTCATGGTGGTGGGAGTCATAAATATGTTTTTTACTTTTATGCCCTATTTTTATCTCAATAAATCTGATAAATGATCCCCGACTTTTATCCACCAAGGTGAAACATCGGGAAAAAACTAATACCTACGTCCCTTAAAACTTTGCCAAAGTTGACTGACACGGAGAATAATAAAGTAAAAACTGTGTGATTGAGGTTTGTGCAGAAGAGAGAGAAATAACGGAAACCACAAAATAATTGATTAAAAGGGAAAGTGGCAAAGTTTTTTGGGACGTCCCAAAAAGGAAAGATGACAAAGTTTTAAGGGATAGAGGGAGTATAATAATTGCAATAATAACAATAATAATAGTACGCACTGGCACTACAAAATAAAAAGTGAAATGATTATTACGTATTATAAGTACATAACACAAGGTAATTTTAATTGTTCTTTTCTACCTACCAGACACTAGAGGAGGCCCGGGTCGAGTGGTTCTTTGATGAAGGAAGGTTCCACATTGTTGATCCAAACGATTAGCCGTTCTGAAATGCTACAGCTCTTTGAGTGGTTCTTTGTTATAGTTTTCTTCAAGTGTCATATCTAGATGGCTAAAGGGTCAAATAGGTACATGAAGTAACTTAAAGTGTTCAATTAGCCCCTTGTATATGAGGTTCTGCCCAGCCGTCGCCAATTAGGGAAGTTCCCGGTGGAATTTTTTGATGAAATTTTTTGAGCATTTTCTTCATTAAGTCTAGTTTACTCATACCAAATTTCAGCTAAACAATCAACCGAGAATGCAGTCAAATGATTTTTTGAAGATAACTGCGCAGTTAAACAGCGCAGTACATTTCGGAAAATCATTTGATTGCCTTTCCGATTTAATTTTTAGCTGAAATTTGATATGAGTAAACTAGACTTAATGAAGAAGATTCTCACAAAAATTCATCAAAAATGTTTACCGGGAACCGCCCCAATTGGCGACGGTCGGGCAGAACCTCCTATATAAGGGGCTAATTGAACACTTTATGTTAGTTCATGTACCTATTTGACCCTTTAGCCTATCTAAATTAAGACCGTTTGAATGTGACATTAATTACCTCTTAATTAGTAGCTACGTACTTTAATTCAGAGAATTCGTTCAAATATTTCTTTTTATATTTATTCGAATTAGCATTTCCATTTGTGTGTTTCACGAGATGCACATACTTTAATTAACTTCTTTTGAATGATAAATAAACATAGTCTAAATGAGCACATAACCTAGCTAGTGGTATAATTTGAACTTCATAGAGCGTGTTAATGACTTAATGACAAGGACAAATAATGGGAAAATTTAAAGTACACGGTACACGGTATACTTTTTCAAGATGATCGAATTGAAGGAAGAAAAAAACTCCACTGACTTCGATGGCGGATAGGGAAGTTTTCTAAAGCAGGGAACTATCGCATGGTGGGAATGGATCGGTTTGATCGGGTGTTTCGTTGGTCTATTTTAGTCTGTCTAGTCCATTTCGATTTTTTATACTCCGTATAAAAGATGTATTAACAATGTCGGTTTCAAGCGATAGACACTTGTGGATTATAAGACTAGTTTTGAAATCATTACGAAATTCTAATCAACAATACTTGACATTCTAAAAGAAAGACATAATTTGAATTAGGAATGAATCATCATTGCATCGTTTCTGATTTTGCATTAAAATTCTAGTCATTTTTCATTTCATCAAATGAACAGGATTTTAGTTCTATACAAGGATCATGTCGAATGCTACACGTACAATGTGTTAGTAAATTTATTGGTACTTGTTTAAAAGATACTACCCTATTAAAAATGAAGTATGTATGTAGTATGTCGGTTTGACATTAATTTATCGTGAATTGACACTTTTTTCATGTATGTATTTTTATACAAGATAAAAGTATTTCATCTGTTTATGCTATTTTTCGTCAGCTAAACTATAAAGTATGACTTGTATATTCGTAAAGTATGACTTGAAATAACAGCTACTAACATATAATATATTTAAGAAGTTTAGAGATGTTTCGGAGTAAAAAGTATTGATGTGTTGTATATTATTATGATGAGAAAATGCTCATTATATACAGTTGTGTGATGTACATGATAAGAAGGTTGACTAGCTATTCTAAAGCTATTCTAAAGGTCCATTGGAAACAATATATTTACAATAATAATGATATAATGATTACGTTCTATTATGCTCCCGCAAGATGGAGGTTCCATTGGAAACTCCCAGCTTGAACCGAAATTTCTCAAATAGTTCACGATCGAGGGGCTTCGTTAGAATGTCGGCAATCTACAGTTTAGTAGAAATATGGTAAACCCGAAGCTATCCTTGAGCGACTAGATCACGAACAAAATAATAATCAAGAGCAAGATGCTTCATGCGGGAATGAAAGACGGGATTACTACATACATAGGTTGCCCCTAGATTGTCACAATAAAAAGTAGGAATATGTGCGAGAGAAATACCAAGCTCATCCAGAAGATGTCGTACCCAAAGAAGTTCTGCACTAGCATGAGCCACCGCCCGGTATTCGGCTTCAGTAGAGGACCGAGATACACATTTTTGTTTGGCAGATTTCCAAGAGATTATATTAGGGCCCAACTAAAGAACATATGCAGTAGTAGACCGTCCTTCATCATGAATGTTTCCCCAGTTGGAGTCAGAAAAAGCAGAGAGCTGAAGAGCACACGAACGTCGAAGAAATAAACCATAGTGGATGGTTCCCTTGATGTAACGAAGTATACACTTTACTTCCTGCCAATGAACTTCCGATGGAGATTGCATAAACTGTGATAACTGATTAACAGCAAAGGATAAATCCGGCCGTGTGAAAACCAAATATTGAAGGAGACCAAGAGTGCGGCGATAGTGCGTGGAGTCAGTGAGTGGAGAACCATCATTGACCATAATGGAGGCCGTAGAACTCATAGGAGTAGAAGAAGCTTTTGCACCCACCATAGAACACGTATCAAGGATATTCTGAATGTACTGTCGTTGTGAGAGAAAAATTCCATCATTGGTTGGTATAACCTCAATGCCCAGAAGTGAGCTGGGAAATAAATTTGTTTATGGCAGAGGTAGAGTTCCCAGTGAAAACAATATCATATACATCATCATCATTTCATCATTATCATTACCCCAGTGTCACAAAGGCTCCTACCTTTGTATAAAGCATCAAATACATATGGCTGTATATGACTAAAGAAACCCGATAACATAAAAGCAACAAATAAGAGAAGGGAAATAAGAATAATAAATTATGGTTTATAACAAGAAAATGACTTTGATGTTTGTGTTGGCTATTCTTTTACCTTGGTTGACCTTCGCAAAAGATTCACCGTCAACCCCGGAGACCTCGGATGAAGCCGCAAACCATCTTGCTGCTAAAATACATTTTTGTATTGCTGATTGGTTGTCTTTTTACATTGTTTATCCACATGAGGGACCTATTTCTTCTACTCAATTAGCGTACGTTGAAGATACTTTCCGTAAATATGAACTTGTCAAGTACTTAAGAAAGATTGTCCACCTAAGCTACATCCTAATTACAATTATAACCACCCCAATGTTTTATTTGATTCATGTTCCAGTTTCTTTTTATCTAAATAGTTTGTTCATTAGTGTAATGAAGTCCTTCTTGTACCGTAAAGGACTAAGAAATTCATGGTGGTGGGAGTCATAATTTTTTTTTTACTTGATAACAAGTTCTATTGTTATATATTTGACTAGTGTAGAGCCCGGGGTATGCCCCGGTAGCGAATCAATTTGATATGGATTAAAATGAAAAATACTAATAATATTGTGAATTATTCATATGATCCAAAGTTGGATATAATTAATTTTTATTATGGACTACTCACAATCAATTATAAATTTTTATATGTTTAATGATTATTAATTTAGGCATCATGATCTATTATATATTTACACTTTAATCCATATCGAGGTTTTAAATTACACAGTTGTGGTCACTGTGATTGCGGTTATTGTGGCCGTTGTAATGCGTGTTGCACCGATGCCGAGTGAATTCATTTAAGGTATGAACAAATTGAGAAAAAAAGTTAGTGTTGCGGTTCTGATGCGTCCCATTGCGTATATTTCGCGTGAATAGCAATCTCACTACCATTGTGGCGCGGTGTGGTTGTGCTGCGATGCAATTGCAGCCACAATACGTGTTGTGATCCGCAATTGAAAATCATGGTCTATATTTGTTTCCCACCAGGTTTTGTTACTCACTTTGTCCTATTTTGTAAGACACGTTTTATTTTTTGTGTACCTAAAAAACATGAAAAGTATTTTAAATTACTACTGACTTTTTCTTTCTCGCTTTGTTTTTATCTATCATTTCATTGTTTACTTTTTTTATGCATGCTACATTTTCTTACTTTTTGCATGTTAAAATGTAAAAGAACCACTTTATCCCTATCTTTAAACCTGCACCAAATGTGAGGGAATTGAAGGAGAATCCAAATGTATCTTACAATGTTACAGGAATGTTTACATAATAAGTATTCTTCATAATAATAGAATAAGTGTTTACTATTGTTACAATTTGGTCAAGGTTTCAGCTTTGCATCACAAATGTAATTTCATTTATAATAGCTCTTTTGTACATTTAATTATGTGTTTTGTAGTGAGTGAAGTCTATTTGGAGTCTTGAGTATTTCTTTGAAGGAACACAACGTATACTTTTGTCCTATTTTGGGAAGAGAAACAATATAGTCCTGGCGTTTATTCGAATATCCCTGCACGTTAATTTGTTACCCAAGATTTGATTTGATACCCGAGTCAGGTCAATTTGACGAGCACTTTGTCGTAGTATAGCGTAGTAGAGTTCGTATCCACAGGGAAAGGAGCTTTTCGCGTATGTGTAAGCGTAATAAATAAAAGT